GCTGAAACTGCTTCTGGGAAATAATGGAGAAATACAAGATTTTATTTTGGCTGTAACTGGGGAGCAATACTTTTCTCACCACAACTTAAAATAGAGACAAAAACGGGAATTCTCATCTTTGGCTTTATTGAGAATCTGGAAGATTCATTTCTAGACAGTTAGAAACAAGAATTCTAGATCCCCAACAGCAATACAGAATCCAAAAAATGTCAAACTTTCATTTTATAAAATATTTGCTTTATTGTTCATTTAGCCTCTCACCCATCCTACAAGAAATATCACAGAATAAAACTCCTTAGAATAAATATGTGTATTTCCACTGATCAATTGTTGGAGCAGATCTAGTTGTGATGCTATGAATACCAGAAAGAAAATACAGAAATAGAAAATATCCATCAGCACAATTAAAAGTTTGATCCTTAGGAAAGCACCAAATGATCCAAGACTTTTGTCAACAAGGAAAAAAGCGAGAACAATGCCCAATGGTGAATAAAACTAAAAATAAGAATGCCACACTAATGGAGCAAATAACATAAGCCAGAATCTGTCCAGAAAGATATAGGAACAGAAAACAGAAAAATGGCAACAGTGCTGGACATAACTATTCAGCAAAAAATAAATGATAAAAAATGATTTATCCTGAGATCTCATATGATCTCACCAAGGAAACCAAAATCTAATACATTAATTCTCAAATCTCACTTATCCCAAATTTGAAATTTTGCCAGAATTTGCCATTTGGAGATTTTTATTTTTTAGAAATCCCACTGGGTACTTTGGCACAAGACTGATCACCCCAAGATACTGTAAAAAGAAAACAGCCCTGGTGGCGCAGTGGTTAGAATGCATTATTGCATGCTGATTCTGCCGATTGCCAGGAGTTTGATCCTGACTGGCTCAAGGTTGACTGAGCCTTCCATCCTTCCGTGGTCAGTAAAATGAGGACCCAGATTGTTGAGGGCAATAGGCTGACTCTGTAGAGAGGGCTGTAAAGCACTGTGAAGAAGTATATAAGTCTAAGCGCTATTGCTACTGGTGGACAGAAGCACATTATGAGCAGTACCTCAGGAAGACATGGCAATCCATTTTAGAGAGAGAGAAGTAGGACTAACATGTTTTTATAGTATGAAATGTCATTCCGAATTTGGAAGGAAACTTGGGAAACACAAATGAAAATTGATTAATAACGGTCCTCTGACTGAAAACTCTGACTCAACCAGTTTCTTTTCAGTGATAGTTTTTTTTTGCTTATTTTGCTTCACTTGAACTGCCAATTTCTGCAGCAGTTACCACAAATCTTGCTCCTTGCTGCCCCTTTTTCTTCAGTTTTTAATGAGGCACCAAAAAGATGGGATGCTTTCTCTGGTGATGTGGTGGTTCTCACTTACATTTCAGGCTGAGAGAGGAAATATTTTTCGCTGCCAAGGATGGACTGACAACTTAATCTGCCCTTATGCACTTACATGTGTGGTGCCCCCCCCCCCAGCTTTGTATAGCTGAGACGATTAAGGTAATTGTCTCTCCACTTTCCTGCCTTCCCCCACTAAAACTGCTGACCCTTTCCTGCAAGGCCTGCCCACCAAAACTGGAAGAGGACCTTTAAAAAAACTACGAAAAGCTGCATGTGTCTATGGAGATTCTCAGTCATCCAGGTCACGATTGTCCCAAAGGTGCTTTTTCAAAAGGCAACTGGACTTTGTTTTTTTCCCTTGAAGACGTTTCGTTTCTCATCCAAGAAGCTTCTTCAGTTCTGACTGAACTGAAGAAGTTAGAGCTGAGAAAGCTTCTTGGATGAGAAGTGAAACATCTTCAAGGGAAAAAAACAAAGACAGTCCAGTTGCCTTTTGAAAAAGCACCTTTGGGCCTGCCAAAAGCTGCAGCTATAAGTGAAAGTTAGACAGGAGGGAGCAGTCTAAGATTCAGAGGCATTTGTGGTGACCTCCTATGCAGCCCGCAGGCTACTCACTCCCCCCCCAAGCAAAGGCTACAGATATTATACATGCAACACAGCATTTACAGAATAAAATTTTTAAAAAATCAAAAATGTTAAAAGAATCTCACTGAAATTAACCAACAGCAAATGTATTCAGAAAATCCAAACTTTGGTGAAGAAGTGTCTCTTAAATAGCAACAAAACTGAATGCACCTTCCCTTGTGAACATTTTCTGGGCATCCTCATTTAACAATATCACAAGAATCAATTACTGCAACGTATGGAGAACAGCTATCAAATGTTCCACAGCCATGCGTGTCACTCAAAAATCAAGGAGTATTTTTGCAGGCTTGTTTATTAAACTTTCTGGTTCTTTTGTGCTTATTGTGTAAGTGTCATGATTGTATATTTTGTGCACACTTTTATTAGTTTTTATCTACATTATATTGTGATGTGGCAGCTTGTAACCAGGAAGCTTGTAACAGAAATAAAAAATGTGCAAATAATATCCTGCCCTAATCATAAGGAAATTATTATAGCTTCAATCAAATGCATGTTTATTCCTAAATTCTAGTGAACTTCTAAGCATTCAACTGAATCTTGTTTTGGATTTAATCCACTGTGCGTTAAACACACCATGGCCAACTAACCTATGAAAAAATGAAGCATATGAACATCGCATACTAAACAAGATACCCTGTAATTCACTCACCCATAGGTTCTTTGATAACACCATAATAATCAGGAGCATCATTGGGATCTACTGGTTCTAAAAATGGCCAAGCCATCTTGTGAGCCTGTTAGGAAAAAGATATATCATTCATTAATATGAGAAGCCTGCTTTCACATCAACGCTATTGCTGCAGTACACTGGGAAAAGCAGGGAGGGAATCACTTGTAAAAATCCGTCCTACTTCTCCATGCAAACCAAAGAGACAGAACTGTTGATTTCAGGTGAGATTCATTTCACAAAGATCTGCTCAGCAGTTTTTCACCTCACGGGCTGAACTAAGTCAACTCCACCTTCCCAAAGATGTATTGTAATGCTTTTTTGTAATGTAGTGAATCCCTTGATGTACTAGACCAGGGCTTTTCAACCTTTTCAGAGTTTGTACCACTTTTAGGACATGACAATATTTGAGTACCACCAGTGCTTAGCAAGGTGTCAAAAACTTGATGACTAAAAAAAAAAAAGGGGGGGGGGATTTTGGGTTTTACTGATTAGATTCATTTGTTGTTATAGAAATGGCTATTTATAATATTATGGAAAAGTAAAAAGTTGAGGTTCAATGTTAATGGTTCCTTCTACTGCAACAGAGGAAGTCTGTTCTTTTTCCCTTCTCCCCCTCACTTTCCCCCCTTTTCCTCCCCACTGTGTCCTACTATTTGCTTTTGTATTTTATTCTATAATCTAATAAAATATTACAAACTGTAGGAAAAAAGGGGAAAAATACCAGTTTTAATTTCTTTGGTGGCTGTTCCTTTGCTGAATCACTTTCCCTTTGCACTGACAAATGTATGATGAATTTATCCATGTTTATTAATATGCATCACTATCAGCTAGCTCAGGGGTCTTCAAACTTGGCACTTTTAAGACTTGTGGACTTCAACTCCCAGAATTCCTCAGCCATCATGGCTGGTTGAGGAATTCTGGGAGTTGAAGTCCACAGGTTTGAAGTTGCTAAGTTTGTAGACCCCTGAGATAGCTGGTCGGCCCTTCTTCCTCTCTCCCTTCTGAGTTCTTTCCACAGTGTAGGAAGAATGCACCCCCCCCCCAAATCCCTTCCCCGTACCCTTAAAGACACAGGAATCAAGTGCAAAGCAAGAAAGGCTCACAAAATAAAGAAACACATAAACTCCAGCTTTTTTTTCCCCTTTAAGCTGCCTCAGGCGTGTCACAATGTTGCAATCTGAGACTGAAGGGCTCCAGCAATTATGAAAAGCTTTAGCTTTAAATTAAACCTATTTACCTTCAAAGAAAACTTTCTAAAAGCCATATACAGACTCAATTAAAGGGGGTAAAACGAATTACATTTGTTTAAAGGAATTAAACCTTTCCCTGTTGTCTTTTTTTCCCCTTTCCCGCCCAAGCCACCTCCTTTTATAATCTCTCCTCTCCTCCCCGCTTTTTCTTCAGTTCACTTCCAGCTCCTGCTGCTTCCAGAAGTGCCAATCAGCTGGAGCAACCGAGCCCAGACAGTCCTGTAGCTGCAGCTGTCTCTCCCTCAGGCTTGGGTTGCTTCGGCTCATTCCCCTCCTCTGCTACACTTCTCTAGGACGCCCACGTACCACCTGCCACGTGGCAAAGTATCACAGGTGGTACGTCTACCATCGGTTGAAAAGCCCTGCACTAGACCACAATTCAGTAGACCTCAGATGCAAAATTCATTTGCATTTAATGGACTTTGAATCTAATGGACACCCGTTCCTGTGATCCTGTGAAACTGCGGGCTTAGAGCAGGGGTGGGCAACTATGGCCTCTTAATGATTTGTGGACTTCAACTTCCAGAATTCCTGAGCCAAACATGGCTGGCTCAGGAATTCTGGGAGTTGAAATCCATAGGTCATAAAGGGGCCATAGTTGCCCGTCCCTGGCTTAGAGTCTGTTGGTGCATTAATTAAACAATATTCTTTAACATAAGTTTCAGCCTTACCTGTAATGAACGTAGTACTCTCTTTAGCCCTTCATAATCTTTGTCAGTCAAAGGACTGAGAACTGTCATGGCATCTTCAGTTGACTGACACTGTGGGCAGACATACTCATCAATGAGATCTGCCTCACTTTGTAAAATACCAACGCAGCGCCCATGATACCAATTCTGACATCTGTCACAGCCAATGTAAAATCTGCAAGATCCCAAAGAAAACGGTTAACATCTTTAATTCCACATTATGACTTTTCCTTGGTTAACAAATCTAAAAAGATGAGGATTTTTGCCTCATATTCACACTTAAATTTTTGAAATCCAATTGGAAGCATAGCTTTATCAACCATGCTTAATCTTAAGCAACTGAAACTTCTTAGCGCTGAAAGGAACAAAGGTCATAAACTGTGATTTACAAACAAGATGATCAAAGATTCTCCTTTCCTTTGGATCAACTTTTTGTAAAAGGTACCATATACATTGGTAGAAAATTGACATTCAGAGTCCTACAACATAGTGTGAATGGGGCACTAATAGCACTTATATACCGATTTTGAAATTATAATCATAACTTCAGCCTGAACTAAAATTAATATGTTGCAATAAATTACGAATTCCTAGCAAGTAAGGCATTTGTTGGAAACTTCCTCAATAAATCAATAAAAAATAGTCTGCTTTGAAGAATATGTTTTACTGACAATACTAGAAACCTCCCTTTCCCCCAAGTGTCACATAATATAATTTACTGTCATTTTAGAAATGTTTAAAATCATGTCACTAGATATAACAGATGTTGAACAATATTTCTTTTTTTGTTGAAGAAACACATTACCAAACTCAGAGCAGTTTTCTACCTAAATATTAAATAAGAGGTTCTTGTCAGAACTCACTGTGACTCATCATAAGGTGTTCTGCAGATACAGTACAATTCCTCACTGCTGCCCTCTTGTGCCCGTTTACACTCATTACAGATGTACACATCCATTTTCTTAGCCTCCTTTTCTGTGATGCCAACACATTCTCCATGATACCAGTTAGTACAAAGATCACAGCCAATATAGAACCTAAAAGTATTTACAATGAAAATGACAATGTAATTGTCATTTCAAATGGCAAGGCACTTGCTTAAACTGACTCTGTCTTTTTCTGAATTAAATTCCCCTAACCATATTAATCTACTCTTCCCAACCTAACATAGAATAAAAACTTGCCAGACCCTACTTTACTAGACAGTTCTTCATATTTTTGCAAAACAACAACAACAACCACAACAACAAAAAGTACTGAAATCTGAAATATGTGAATGTCTCAACTATGAATGCAGAAAGACACGGCCAAAAAACAAAAAGATCTATATTTTCAAAACTCTTGCTAAAAAACGTGAAGCACATTGGTCATTCTTAAATTTTGAAAACATAGTTCAATGTTAAAAAAAATAAATAAATAAGCAAAGTGCAGATACAACTAGAAGTTACAGGTACACTTTAAAAAAAGCAGCATGCATACCAGCCATATGTAAAACACATATTGGTATAACATGACATGAAGGAAAATGGGACATGTGGATGTATGTTTTCTACGAAACTGCCTGAAATTTCTCTCAAATTAAAAAAGAAAATTAGGGCAGGCCATTTATTCAAAAATATCTATTTTTTTTTTTAGAAAACTTTGTGTCAGGTCAAAAACCATACAACTAGGCAACCTCATCCTTGTGTACTTACAAACCTCCACTTGACAATATTCAAGTTCAAAATATGATAACAAAATAAGAGAAAAGGCCACTGTCTATAAGAACTTCTGGCTTGGAACAGAGGTGAAATGGTTTTATGTCATGTTAACTCTAAAGCAGGGGTAGTCAACCATGGCTCTTTTATGACTCGTGGACTTCAACTCCCAGAATTCCTGAGCCAGCTGTGAGAGTTGAAGTCCGCGAGTCATAAAAGAGCCAAGGTTGACTACCCCTGCTCTAAAGGGACCCTTCCCTTTGTTTATTGCCCCTTCCTCACTCCCTTCTTTTCATCTTTCAATGATTCAAGTCTGATGCTGGTGCTGCCTACCATATTTGCTTGTTTAGATATATTGTTTGCCTCAAAACTCCTGAGGGAGGGAACAGTATGGAAAAAGGAACAATGTTCCCTCATACCAGTTTCATATGTGTACTTCTACACAGGGAGTCCTCAACTTACAAATGTAATGGAGTCCAGAACCATGTAAGTGTGCCTGATTTTATGATATTTTTTTTGTGGCAGTCATAAAGCAAATACCACAGTCATTAAGTGATAAGTGGTTTTTTTTTGTCAGAAACCCGTAGTAAATGCCAGCAAAAATGCATAATAAATTGCGGTCACAGGACCATAGCAAGCCGAAATGGCCATAAATGCAGGCCCATTGCCAGGCGTCCAAAATGTGACATGACTGTGGGACAGTCCCGCCCCCTGGCACCAGAACTTTGAATCTGGGTCATAAGAATCTTATTTTTATCTGTCGTAACTTTGAATGGTTGCTAAGTGTCCACCTGAAAGTTGAGGACGACCTATATTTGTCTCGGTATTATATCTGATAGCTTTGATCTCAAAATTAGCGCCACCTCTATTGCATAATCTCCCTTTGCATACTACATTGTGTTATCCTGCTATTTAAGCCTCATGCTGCTACATACGGTAGTGCTCTGTGGGCCTATCACCCTGATCTCCACTGATCTCCAAAAGAAAAACTTCCTTGCAATAGGCCAGCAAACATACTTGCTATGGCTTCTTGCTCAAAACTAAGAATGAAAGAACTTTTTCTTACAAAATGCTCCAAAAATTACCCCAACCATTTCTTTTCTTCTGCCTATCTTCCACTGCAGTTCTAATGATTGTTTATTAAATCTAAGCAAACAGCTTTGATACAAGTATGCCAAAGAAACACGTAGCATATGATGGCTGGGACCCAAACTGCCATGAGTAAATCCAGCTGATAGCACTGTCCCTGTAAACGCCTTCCTGTCCTTCTGCAGGATCCCTTCCTTCACAGGACCATTGCGTGGGAAAGCCACACTGTGGGAGTACAGTTCTGCTTACACTACCTGCTTTATTTCCATTAACACCTGGGTGCTCCATGATCAAGACCCTTCCCCTGGGCTTAAAAGTTAACGAGATTTACTTTTAGATTATCTTTACCCAGGATTTTAAGGGAAGAGACAATGCAGCCTAAAAATTTGTATATCTGAATGATCTGCTGTCATCCCTTTCATCTACGATGAGCATAGTTCAGCAGAAGGAAAGCAATGGCCTGATTGAATCTGAACTATTTTTAATCCATAAATTATCTGACCTTCCAATAAACTATCACAATAGGTTCAGCATGGAAAAAATATAATCACCTTTCCGTATTATTGATTACAGTAATTTTTATATATGTGTTTTATTTAAAATTACTGTAATCAACACACATGCGCGCGCACACACACATTAATACTATTAGGGCTTAAATTCCAGGAAAAAATAATTTATAATTTATCTCCTTTAGATACTATAATTCAAGAAACGACTATGGTAAACTATGTGCCACAGATTTTTTTTTGAAAGAGGAGTATTTTTGTATGTTTATTCACATTCTCTCAGAAAGTGCTAATTTTATACAACAGACGGACCTGAGACCCAGGCCTCCTATAAATATTGCACTTAACCATATAAGTTTAAAATTTTAAAGTTCTAGTATTAATTTGACAAAGAACTCTAGTTAAACAACAAGAAATGCAGGACATGTTCACAAAAAACCTCTGCTACACCATTATGGTTAAGCTGCCGACGTTTTAGTCAAATCAGTTCTGTGAGTGGAACAGTTAGGTCTCTAACTGCATTTCTCAAATATTATTTGCCCTTTTTAAACTATCCAGATATCCAGTGATATCCAGATCAAAAGCTTATTTCTGACCTGTTAAATTATATTAGCTATGGCGTCTTGATGTTTTTAATAATTACAGCACTTGGAACTCTAAGGAAACTCTACTGTAACACACATTCATCCTCCAAATTACTCTATAATCTACCTCCTATCTGGCATATTCAGAATATAAAATGTGTAACCTGGCATTTAAAAAGTCCCCTCCCTGCCAAACAGTACAAATATAACCCATAAATATATTTAGAAATTATTTGGAGCCTGCCCAAGAAAACTTTCTGTAATCCATTGCTTCTGAACGAGAGGCAAAGAGGGTTGGGACAAAGTAAAGAATGTGCAATGTGAGACAAAATCATACAATGGAAACATGCAAGTAAGATATGAATCACAAAAGCCTGCTTTGAAAAAAAAAATACAATTGAGAGCTAATAGTTTTAGTCCTTTCTCGATCAATTACCCAATAAAACGGCATTTAACGTTACACTCCATTTCCATCCCTCCTCCAGCCCAGCTACTAACTGAAGGCTAAAGCTAAACTAAAAATACTTCAAGCACATAAGTTTCCTTACTCACTTGGATTCGTCGTAAGGCGTCTTGCAGATACAGTAAAGCTTTGTATCCTTCTTGGTTTCCTTTGAGGTAGTAGAAATCATTTTCTTTTTCTTGGATTTTGAAGAGGCAGACTCCTTCTCTTCCTCTCGCTTTCTTTTGTGGGATGAAATATAGGATGTGCCTGAGGCGGTCGAGGGGACACTGGAACTGGAAGCGGGAGGTGGTAGAGGAGGAGGTGGCGGCGGCGGTGGAGGTGGAGGAAGCGGCGGTGGAGGTGGTGGGGGAGACAGTGCTGCAGCAGCCGCTGCAGCAGCTGCAGCTGCCTGCGCCTTTTCTTTTTCTCTCTTAATTTTAGTTAGATCCTTCTTTAGTTCTTCCTAAAGAAAAACAGAAACAGAAAAGTAACCCACGTAGATACTTATCTTACAGTATCAAAGGTTGAGTTACGCTATCAAACTTCCACAGAAAAGCAAGTGTTTGTGTAGGGTTAGCACTAGTCACTTCTGCAGAACACATAAAGCTTTCTTGCTATGAGCTTCTCAGATTTCTCCCATCCAGAAGACCTTGGCACTGAGCTCACTACAGGAGAACAAGCTATCAAAAACATCTACGTGATTCTGGCTTAATCGTGATTCATGATTCTGGCTTAATCGTGTACACAATAATTATTTATGCCATTCAAAAAATATTGGAGGCAAATTTATTAATATTGCATACCAAATTCAAGTAGGTAATTTTATATGAATCCAGCTTTGGCTTCTGCACCTAATAAGAACAAAAGATTCCAACTACAACAGGAGTCCCCTAACCTCTTGGCCAGCGGGCCGTCTGCCCATGTGTGCGGGCGCGAATGAGGCAGCTAGCGCCGGGTGTGTGTGCATGGCCCCGTTTGCGCACGCACACACCAATTTGGAAGCTGCTTTCCTTCCCTCCGGGCCAAGAGCCCAGAAAGGTTGGAGATCTCTGAACTACAAGACGAAAGAGGCTTTGAAAAGACATCCTTCCAAATCTGAGCATTTATGCCATTCAACAACTACTGAACAACAACTACTCAACAAATCTGAGCATTTATGCCATTCAACAACTACTAAAAAGGAAGAAAATAACCTCATAGGATATCAACACTGTTGCTAATACATTAATTCCCGAGTTGCTGAAAGCAACAACATCTGTTCTCACCCTGTTCTCTACCCCAGCGTTTCTTAAACTTTTTTTTTCTTGGGACCCCTTCCCACTTTTAAAAATTACAGAGAATAGCCACAAAGACTGTTTGTATGGATTATATTTATCAATATTTACATTAAATGGACACACTTGCTGTCTCTACTGCTTCTCACAACTGTTCGATGGGATTTTAATACTGTATTATTTTACAACATAGACTAGCAAATAATTGATGACAATTTTGGTTCTGATATTGTTAGAAAGAATACTGCTTCTTGCACTCCATGTTCCACCCTTGCCTTTGAAAGGAAGAACTTGGCATGCTGATTTGCACACACTATTAATAGTTCCCTCCTGCCCAACAGTGGATTGCCTGACAACTGTATCTCACCTCTCACTCTCTGTTCTGGTAACACAGGGTGCAAACACACAAACCATATCCTTTATCTCCTGCTCTCTGTCCATGCTGGTAAGTCCAAATGCAGGCATGCACACAATGCTTGCCCGACTCCTGCTCTTTGGGTTGGCAATTTGGCACACATACCTGTTCTTGTAGACCATCATGGCCCCTCCCACAGTTCCCTGGGGCCACACCACAAAAAACTATGCATTCTGAAGCACTCCCACCCCCATTTAAACACAAAGCATTGTACAGCTTAATATTAACAACCAATTAGCAGCCTAAAATAAAATGACTTAAAAGGTGACCAATAACCATCAGAATTAGATGATCCATCTGTCTCACCAGCCATCCTCAAATGAAGCCCAGGAAAATATAGTAAACTACACTTAAGGCATATGAGATTGGGAGGGCCTAAGTCTGAATATGCAGTTTGGTAGAAACGGTCATAAGCTGAAGAGAACTAACTCTGTACTTTTTCCCTATGGATGCAAAACAATAAACTGAAATATAGTGTCAAGTCTCCAAGCATGATTAAGAACGACAATTTTACCTGCACTTCAATTTGTAGATCTTTGTCCAAAAGTGCTCTTTTCTTCAGTATTTCAGCTTTCAGTTGTTCCTTATGTTTGAAGAGTAGAGCAGAGAGTTTTGAAGCATTCTGTTTACTGCGCTTTTGTTCCACACTCTCTTCCCGTTTTCGTTTCTTAGCTGCCTGCTTTTCTTCTTTATCTATTTTATCCAGAATATATTTCATGACTTGGTTGCACACTATCATTCTGGGGAAGAAATACAAAGGGTGTAATTAAACAGAAATAATAGGGGGGAAAAGACTGTCAACTACATTTTATACACCATAATAATTATTCCCAATTCTGCATAACTCTCAGCCGGGAATAATAGTCTTTTTACTAAAAGGTATTGCTTCTGAGCTTGCCTGCAGCACACATGATTACGTGCTGATCTGTACATTTACAATATTAAGAAGGTAAAGAAATATTTTTTATTGTTGGATCAAGCCAATGTGCCTGAAAACGCAAATTTTATTACAGACTATGTGGACGACCAAGTCAGAAGCATCAATTAGCAAGTTTGATCTAGTTCTTGTAAACCAATTACATTTTGTTTGAAGAAGCAGAGAATGGGAAATGGATACATCAGACGTATGTAGTACCCTTATTTATCAGTAATTGCCTTGCCAGTAAAACAACTGGTCATTCTCCCTCTCATAGTTTTAAAAGCATATTGTATAATTGCTGATTTTTGCTGCTCCTGATCATCCTGCCTCAGCAAGTAGCAATTTAATTGCAATTTAATACACGGTTATTGCTCCACCATGTAACACAAAGAAGCCATGGATTGGAGCAAAATAAACCTAATAAGCCTGCAACAACCACCCACTTTGTAACCACCTCTTCTGGTGTTACTGGCATCCTGGGAAATATAGTACAAAAGCAGCTGGAGTTGGAAAGGGCAAGCTTCTTCCTTGGGATATGGTCTTCAATCTTTCTATTGATATCATTCCAGAAGACCTAGCTATTTTTCAGGAAGCAGCAGTTACAAAGCTTCTCTACCCATCATAAGGATGGATCATGGAAGTTTGCAGATAGACAAGATTACCCCATCCCAGGTGAGAATACGGAAGGTTGCTGTAGGCAGCTCCACCAGAAGAGCAATGCTTAGCGTGAGGAGCTGTGAGTCCTTAGTCCAGTGATGGCGAACCTTTTAGAGACCGAGTGCCCAAACTGTAACCCAAAACCCACTTATGCATCGTCGGGTGCCGGGTGGGTGTGGCCCATTGGCTGGGCGTGGCTGCGGCGGTAACGGCAGACTGGGTGGGACTAAAAAATTCAATCAATCAATTCCAACTTTGCAAGATTTTTTTTCCTGCGAGAAGTTGAAATTGACTGATTGAACCTTTTTTTTTTTTTTGGGCACACGGCGGCGGAGGCCTAAAGCGAAAAGGTTTTATAAAACCCAGCTGAAGGCCTAGAACTGGGGCGACGGCGCGCGTGCCCACAGAGAGGGCTCTGAGTGCCGCCTCTGGAAACTGTGCCATAGGTTCACCACCACTGCCTTAGTCTGTCCTATAAACCTTGGTGCCCAGGAGTCTCCAAAAGGAAGGAGCCTAAGATATGACTTAGTTCATTTACAGAGCTGCCAAGTTGGGTCTCAGTGATGACCCTGCACACCTATCTAGATAGCCTAAATGTGGTAACTCCTCTGTCACTTTTTACATCTTATGTGTGTCTATACCTGTGCATTCTTATGGTTGGGAGTCGTGACAGGTTATAAGTGGAACTCACTGTTGCTTAATTTTGGGCAACACATCTGCCCTGAATGCTGACACTGGGAGACACAGAGAAACATTTCTCCTTTTCATCTGTCTCTTTAAAGTGTAGGCTTAGATCAGGGGTAGTCAACCTTGGCTCTTTTATGACTCGTGGACTTCAACTCCCAGAATTCCTGAGCCAGCATAGCTGGCTCAGGAATTCTGGGAGTTGAAGTCCACAAGTCATAAAAGAGCCAAGGTTGACTACCCCTGGCTTAAATCTCTGAAACCATAGGACACTTTTAATGGAAAAGAATGAGGAGGAAATGTTACTCTTCCCTATTGCAGTAGCTTGCACTCTGAAAAGGTCTCCAAATAATAGGGAAGAATGTCTGCAATATGAAGGGTATTGAGAGAGAGTAATTGATTGAGTGGGCTGGAGGGGAAAACAGATGCAAATAATAACCCCATTGTTCTTCTTTTAGGAAACGTTTGTGCTGGATCAGAAGAGTCCCTTCCATTTCCATTTAGTGTATGACAACTCAGGATTCCACTTATTGTGGAAATTATTATAATTGGTGCTGCACTACCACATACTGCGGTGCAGCAGGAAACGCTGGAAGACCTATACAATTAATACCTGCGTAATTACAATTTGCCTTACCGTTGATTCTCTTCACGTTCAGCAGGAGTTAATGTCTTTTTCTGTTTTAAGTGCTCTATCACAGCATTGTGTTTCATTACCACCTTGAAGACAGGGGAAAAAAATTCCAATATATGAAAACTTTGGAGAGCAAGAAATAACTCTTAAAACCTACCAAGTAACTCAAAATCTAAGTACCCAAGAAATTAAACTGAAGGTGGCCATTAATTGCCACCTTGACTGCCATTGCAATTTGGACAAAAAGTCTTCACTTGCCTTCCTTTGAAGCAAACCTGAAGAGTTCCCAAAAGAAGGAAGAAACAGGAGAGGTAGAAATACCAGCTGCAGAGAAAACATAGGGAAAGGAGGACCAGAGCTGGGAGTATAATACTCCTCACATATCTTCACTTGGGAGGTGATTTTTTTTTTTTTAAAAAAAGAAAGCTATCAAGAAAAGGAATCTAAACAGACAGAACTGAGGAAAAAAATAAGATTTTTATAGGGAACACTACCTTAAATAATGGGGGAAATTCTAGCATTTAGAATTTAGGAGATATATGACCTAGGACCTAGTCCACCATCATGTCTAAAGTTTCAGATCTCTCTCAGTATTTACTTTGCTCCAAAATATCCTTGATCTACTTTCCAACAAAATAATCAAAAACTGACCATGCCCTTTGGGATAATTATCATTACAATTTCTGTTTCTTATTAGATTCTTGTCATATCCCTTTCCTTCCATAGATTTTTCAAGCTTCAAGAATATTCCAAAGAAAACAAAGAAAAAACAGGAAGGAGTTCAGAAGCAAGGTAACACTGATGTCCTAGAACCTGGGATAAGATGGGAGAATAATTTCTCCCATAGAAGACTACAGGCCAGGGGTGTCCAATGTTGGCAACTTTAAGACTTATGCACTTCAATTCCCAGAATTCCATGCTGGCTGGGAAATTCTGGCAACTGAAGTCCACAAGTCTTAAAAGTTGCCAACTTTGGACACCCCTGCCATAGACATTTGATGGACTGTTCCCTGATTCCTGGAGCAAAGGTGGGGAAAAACCTATGCAAGGACACTTCCTGCTGCAGTAGGAAAAGTTAGATCATTTATCCCAAAGATACTTTTTTCACGAGGCAACTTGGGCTTACTTGTTTTTCTTTGAAGACGTTTCGCTTCTCATCCAAGAAGCTTCTTCAGCTCTGATCATTTATGTGATGATTATTAAACGATCATTAGATCATCTATGTGATATATTTTGTACCTCAAAATATTTTAGATATTTGGCAACAGTCTTATCATACCTAGGATTATTTTCACGAAATATATCCTTAATAATCTACAGTTGAAGAAGGTACAAAAGATGACTTTCAGATGCAATCTGAAAGTCCAAACTTTTAAAGGCTAAGCACAGAGAACAGATGAATTCTGAGCACAGTATTGGTTAATCCAAGCTTTCTTTCAATTCTGCTGTTTAATTTAGGACTGAGGGTAGCTTTCTGTTATTAGTCAATAATTCTGGAAAGCTATGTTAAAGAGATTTAGATCGAACATATCTTACTTTGACAAGGAGAATATAAAAGGCACACCACGAAGGATTTAATCCTCAAACGCTCAATGACTTCTCCTTATCATACTTAAACAAAATTTAGAATAACTTCTATCCCAAAGGATAATTAAACACACAACAATATCTCATTTTTTTAATAACCTTCGCAGCCAATCTAAGCTAATTCTCCCATTTTTTTAAAGTTAATTCCAGGGGCGAGGGAAGGATTCACTTTGATTCAGGTAAATGTAGCGATAGGCCCACTGAGTAATAAAGCTTTGCTGTCCCTTTAAAACACTTTACCTGTTTTTGGATAATATCACTCTGATTAGAAGCCTGAAGGGAGTGTTCCCGTTTTATTTCAATATGCTGCTGTTTTTTCTTCTGCTGTTGCTCTCTGAGCTGCTGTACCCTCTGCAGTTGCTCTTGGACACTGGCTTGAACAGTTACTACATTCTGGATCTGGTGTGTTTGCACCGCGCTGGCCTGCTGAATCTGAATTGGTAACTGGAGCTTAATCTGCTGAGGCAGGCCGCTCTGCTGAGCCTGAATCTGGGCCACCATATGGGACGGGAGCTGGGAAAACACTTGGACTTGCTGCTGAAGCTGCGGCACAGTAATGACCTTGGTCTGGGGGGGTTGAATCTGCAGCTGAGGGCGCGGAGGCAGTACCGTGACTTGGTTGACAGTCGAAGCAGGCGGAAGAGCTGGGACTGACGTTGGGACCTGGGACTGCTGGGTCTGGATCTGCACGGATGGATGTGGTTGGATCTGAACCTGCTGCGGGGCTGCAGTCTGTACCTGAGTTGGCTGGATCGTCTGTCCTTTGGGTGGAGTCTGCAGATGCATAACTGTCTGGGCTTGGTTCTGCGCCGGAGCGAAAGGCAGTCCTTGGGCAAGGCTCTGGGGTGGGGGCTGAGCCACAGCTGGAGTTACGGTCGATTGGGTTCTGGGTGGCTGTGCTTCAGAGGTGACTGTTGGACTTGGAAGCGAAGGTGGAACCTGAGCTTCAGGGGAGGGGTGGGGTTCAACTGGAACGGGTGCCTGCACGGTCTGGGTCTGTGCTGGCATCACAGTCTGAGCTGAACTGCTTGGAGGCGGAGCTGAGAACGAAGTAGGGGCAGGCTTGGGCTCAGCAGGTGGAAGAGCTGGCGTTGGCTGTGTTTGGGTCTGTGCAAGAGATGTTTGCTTCTGTTCTCCTGCAGCTGGGGAGATAAAAGCAAGCCTCGTATTCACAGCTGCAAAGAACAGCTCCTCTGCCCTAAAAACATTCATTACACGATACCCAGTGATCTGAAGCCTGAACCTTGTGGTTTTTTAAAAAAATTATAATTTAGTTTTATAAAGACTTCCCAACTTAGCAGAAATTCTGGGTTGTGTACTATTAAAATCCCTAAAGACAGATAAAATAACATGACATAAAGTCACAGTGGAAACAACAAACAAAAACCAAGGCACACCATACACCAAATCGCACAACACCAGTCTATCCCAGAAGAGACAGAAGAAGCCAAGTGTCTAAAGATTAAAGAGGCATCATGAGAAAAGATCCTTCTTAGGTTTAATCAGGTGACCTTAGAGAGGACATGAAACATGTCTACTGTGTTGAATTTTATGGGGCGGGCAAAAATGATGAGAGGCAATCTCCCAGACAGTCAAACCCTAGACTAAGGGTGTCAAACTGCCGGCCCACGGGCTGGTTTCATCATACCAAAGCCGCACCCACCCCATTGCCGGCAATGCAAAAAGAGTTGCGATGTGTCGCGACACGTCACGTGACATGGCAAGTTTGACACCCGTGCCCTAGACTATGAATGACTTTACAGCTGATAACCAACAACTTAAATTGCATTCAGGAGCTTACTAGTTACTAGACAGTTTGTATGGGTGTTAGTTAGGTGTAACAAAGTGTGCCGATAGCTGCTTGCACAATAGCGTTCTGGATCAGTTACAGCTTGCAAGTGGTCTTCAAGGACAGCATCAGGCAAAGCAGGGATCATGAAATAGGATTCTCACTCCAGCTACCCCATTCAGAATCAACAACCAAAAACCGTTAGCGCCAGAAGAGCCAAATATTCACAGCCACTTGGTCTTCTCAGAATTGAGTCTGAGCCTGTTCCTCCCCTTCCAGACCTGAACAGTCTCTAGATGCTGGGTCATGACCTCAACAGCATCATCATACATGGCTGAGTATCATCAGCGTACTGATGGCACCCAACCCTTTGGATGGCATCGCTCAATGGTTTCATTCAAAGAAAGTCAAGAGCATCAAACAGAGACACTCTGCAAGCCAGAAGCTTTGCTTCAGACCCTTTCCTAGCTGTCCACACTGATTAGAACCAGCCATGGAGACAGGAGGAAAAACACTGCAATATTTTGTCTCCCACCCCTAGAAGAACACCATGATCAATGATATTGGAAGCGGCTGTGAGATCAAAAAGGATTAGGACAGTCACGTCACTCCTTTCCTGAGGTAATCAACAAATGTGATCAATGGTATGCTCTGGCCTGAAACTTTACTGAAACACATTTAGAGTATCTGTTTTATCCACAGCCTTCTGGAGCTGTGGTCAGACCTTTTTCTTCACAGCTTTACAAAAAACAACAACAACCCAACAACAACACACCAACCCCCAGTTGGAGCCTGAAATCCAACAGTTGCTTCTTGAGGAGAATGCACCACCGCCTCTTTCAAGGCAGGCAGAACCACCTAGTCTCTGAGGATAAATTAGCACGATATAGATTCAGCCACATATTACCACCCTTCTCCTTACCCCTGGAAGAGGCTTCAACCAGCTCTGGGGGACATGGATCTAACAAACAAGTGGCCAGATCAACAGCCATGAGGTTCCTGTCATGCTAAACAGGAGAGGTGAGATCACTGAATCCTAAGGCAGTCCACAAACCAGGGGCCTTGGGTCAGACCTTTCCGTAGCTATTAACACCAACTGGAACCAGCTGTGGAGAAAGGAAGAAAACCACGAACTCTTCCTGCACCATGTACAGCCTGGTCTTAGTTTCTCACCATATTTCTCTATGCCTGTCACCTCTTGGATAATAATATCTGCCCTATGTCAGTTGTCCTGCCCAATTGCTATCTTTTGTCCTCTAAAGACCCAGGAAAATCTTGAGTAACCTATCAACTGTCTTCAGACATCATTAATCACAGCCACCTCCCCTGCTGCTTCTCAGTAGATTCAGGGCGGCCAGGTTCTCACACACTCATTACCAGCCTACACAGAGCAACTGTGAGGATCAGGTGAGTCTGATACTCTGCCCAATTGAGCTTCTGCCACTCCAATTCTCACCACGACACCACAACGCATCTGTTTATCAAGAAACTAGTCTGCTTCATCTGCAAGCCTTCCTGTCACACAATATCTCCCATTCAGTTGTGCTGCTGAAAATAACACTCTTTTGGGTAGGCCCTCAACACTATTATTGCTGTAAGCCGAGACTCCACCTCCAGCCTAGGTGGAAATGCAACGAATGAAGCCAAGATGCGCACACAAAGGGCCGTTTTGCTTCCACTAGAGAGCTGTGAAATTATTTCTCCCACTCCTCCACAGGGCACCGCTCCGTTCTTCTTCTGCTCACGTCTGAAACATGCACTCCCCCAACTAGGGTGCAGTCTAGCATTGCAACCCAAACTCCATCCAGGTGCTCCCAAAACAAAAATAGCAACAAAGCTAATTATTCTTCTGCCCAACAGTCATTCAATTTTCTCCCAATCATCACCTTGGGGAAAAAAACGGACATTTTAAAGCTTTCATCAAAATGCTGAATTCCCCCCTTTTTTTGGTGAACATTAAACACAAAAAGTATACCTGATGTTGAGGTGGAAACTGTTGTGGAAGTAGTGCTGGCTACCGTAGCTGCTGTAGATAATGGGGTGAACAGAAAGCGCTGAATGGTACCGTTTGGCATAGCGGCTTGCATCAATTGCTGACCTGGACCTGGGATTACTGTCACACCTTGTGGGATCAACTGCAACTGCCCAGTTGTTTGACCCTGACCCTGAATTACTACAGTTAATCCCTGACTGCCACCCTAAGAGGAAGATAGACAAAAACACAAAGCAAAAGTTGTTAATGTCAGTAAAAGCAGCCAAGGCTGCTTTATGTTCTGAACTGGAACCCAATAAGAGTTAATATGGACATTACAATCTGCACTGTCTATAATATAGATGTTTTCTAAAAAGAAGAAAATTTCCTACCAATTGTCGTAGCATTAACCCATCAAAATTTAAAACCAGAAGGAGAAACTTTGATAACATGATGTGAATCTCTTGGCATCTCACAACTTGCATTTCAAGCACCCAAATACACTGAAGAAATGCACACAGTATGCAAAAAAGCGGAGAACTAAAACTAAAGATGAAGAAAAATATCTCTGAAAAGTAGGATAAAATTTGCAAGCCCTTCTGTAGTTTCCCTTTATAATAAAACTTACCCCTTGAAAAGAGCTACAGTCTTTTTTTCTGAATACATAATTCATTCTAAACAGCAGAGCAACAACAATTCCCCAAACCCCATTTTGCAGCTTCTGGAGATTCTGAAACGGTGCTGCTGAAATTCAGTGGAATATCACTGAACGCTGAGTTCTCTCTGCCTGAGAGATTTCCTGATAAAGATACCTTTTTGGGGTGGGCTTACTATGATCCTTTGCTCATTATATGAGTCCCTGTCTCCCAAATCTTGATTGCTTACCTGTCCTTGTGTGAGTTGTGTGAGCTGTGCCATGGTAAGCTTCACCTGTCCCTGTTGAGGCCGAGGAGGATGTGGTGGAGCAGCTTGTGGCTGCATGTGCTGTGAAGGTATTCCTGGAGCGGTTGCCACCTTTTGGCTGGTAGAAACAGTAGTAGGGCTGGACACGGCTGTTGACACAGGCTGACCTCTGATGATCTGGGTGACCACTTGTTGTGTCTGGCCTGTGTTAACATATCACAGGATTTTTCAATCCTTTGGCCAATAGCACTTATTAAAAAAATTAACCCACCCATTCATTTAAAAAAAGAAAAACCTGTATTTTTCTTCTTAAATAGTAAGATCCGTTAACCAGAAAAATCAACAGTACACTGTTTAACAGAAACAGAGTTGGTTCAAAGGGCTGAAAAGAGTTTATATTGTCACACAGTTAACAATATTCTGACGAATTATTTTTAACCTACCGAATGCAATTGTTTATAGGACAGAATGTTACAGAAATGTTCGCTTTATTCTGACGCTCCAAGGGGACTTAGGAATTGGGTATCTCAAACAGACCTTCCAATGCTGCATAGCAAATGTTTTTGAAACAGTAGAGACTTTTAGCAATCTTTTGTGATTGAGGTTAACTATTCAAAAAGGAACAAAGATTGTAGTACTAGCATGAGTTCTTTGCCCAAGCCTAAGCATCAGTTTTGATCCCGTTTGATTCAAATAGGAAAAAGGAACTACGGATTACAAAATGCAACCAGCCATTTAACTTTTAGTACTGGTAATAGGGATTGAATCTTAAAGCTATAAGAGTGTTATCAATTATTTAAATTCAAATCCTTCAACTAGACACATTTGAATAAGTGGGAAGATACAGAAGAAAATTGAAAATGGAGAAACGAACCACAACCTGCACATACTGGAAATTATTTTTTAAAAAATAGCCTACTGGTTGGAAGAACACCTTGCTGTACGACTACCGGTGTCCGGATGATGGTCTTTCCTAGAGCTGACTGCTGAAGAGGGGTTCTGATGACCGTCATTCCAGGACGAAGAGGTGTCCCAGGCATTACCTGAATAAGTTACAAACAAACTGTTCAACTTTTTCTAATCCTGCAAAGAACAGCAGATATGTCAAAAGCAACTTATATAGAGATTAAAAGTTGTCCAAGGATACAAAACAAAGCTATGAAAATAAAATACTCTTCACAGGGAGCCACAAGAAAGCTTTTAAAAAAATCAAACTACTTTTTTTTCTATTTCAACCTCTGTTCTTTTGTTCATACTCTTTTAACACTTTTTTTGCATATAGCTTCATTCAGCAGTAGCAGTAGCTGCAGCCTCTCTCCCCAACATGACAGCCAGTTTATGGTAAAAAGAAAAATGCAAATGACATATTCTCAGACATTTCATATCTGAGTAATCTACTCCAGATATCTTGACAGAGTAACATCTGAATCGTATGTCACCCAGAACTGCTAGTCAATATTGCCCCATGTCAACTGAACAGTATTCACCAGGTTGCCTTATACATGTATTGCTTCACACATGCACATATTTAACACAGAAAATCAATCCAGTTTAACTAGCCCAGGGGCAGGCAACCTTGGCTCTTTTATGACTCGTGGACTTCAACTCCCAGAATTCCTGAGCCAGCCATGCTGGCTCAGGAATTCTGGGAGTTGAAGTCCACGAGTCATAAAAGAGCCAAGGTTGCCTACCCCTGAACTAGCCTATGGAACATTTACAATTACTGATACTGAAATATCAAGAAAATCTAATGATGGTGTTGTGCTTGGCAATAGCGTACTTCACAAATGCAACATTCTTAACACATCTGAGAGCAAGCTGGCATATTGGGTAAAATGCAGAATCAGGGGTTCTCTGGTTCAAAGGTCCATTCCATCCTGAGAGCTCACTGGGTGACTTTGGGCCCCAAACTATATCTGGACCCAATTCATCACACAGCATAGGCTTGCCATGTAAGTCCCCATGAGCAACCAAAAAGACAGGGTTTCAACGTATTACAGTACTAATTAATAATACAAACTGAAACCATCCCCAAGTGACTCAAATAAACCCTGTATTATCCTAATAGAAGAAAGAGTGAAACTTACTTGTGAAGCACTTGTTGTACAAACAGTCCCTGTATTATTTGGCCTAATAGTTACAGTTGCTGTCCTTGGCTGGAATGAAGTAAATGTTTGTTGGTTTGCTCCAGTAGTTGATGGAATGATGCCCAACACTTTTTGCTGCACCTGAACTACGCCTATTGGGAGAGCAATGTATTTATTAATTTAAAAGCGTTGCCAAGTCACAAGATAACACACATATTCTTTAAAGTGCTACTCTGGTGGATTTTTGTTTTAAGATTCCAACTTTAAAACAAAATTGTATCACAAATGTCAAGGATTAGATTTGTGAATTAAATAACATTTTGGCTGAACGAGTCTATTCTGCATTCACAACGTTGAATACAGTGAATACAAGCATTTAACACTTTTTGATGGTTTTTTTTAATGCCATCAACGATGGTATCCTTCTGGACAGGCTTTGGGGCTTGGGAGTGGCAGGCACTGTGTTATAGATTCCGTGGCCAGTTCCAGTCTGTGTTGTAGGAGAGGAGAGGTCGAGACCTAGGCCCCAGCAACGTGGGATGTCCCAGGGCTCTCATCTCTCATTTTTAACATCTATATAAAACCACTAGGAAAGGTCATCAGTGTGGAGAGGGGTGTTATCAGTTATATATCTCCACTCCTAGCTGGACAGGAAATGTTAGGGTGGTACTGGTCAAGTGTTCGGAGGCTGCAAGGATCTGGATGGGGAGGAACCGGCTTTGATTCAAACAAGATGGAATGACTCTGGATTTTTGGCTCTCTAAGCCCAGATGATATTTCATCTCTGACTCTATATGAGGTGGCATCCCCTCCCCTGCCCAGACTGAGTTGTATCTCTTAGACCAGAGGTCCCCAACCTTTTGGGCACCAGGGACTGGATCCGTGGAGAGAGATTCTTTTTGTGGACTGGAGGGTGCGTGGGTTTGCGTGCTGCCTGCATCCTGTGGATGGGGCTTTGTTTGTTTGCACAGACCGGTTTCTGTCATGCCGCGGACCGGTACTGGGCCCCGGACCGGGGGTTGAGGACCCCTATCTTAGACTCCAGGCTTCTACTTGAGGATCAGGTGGCAGCCATGTCGGGAGCAGTGCATTTGCACAGATTCATCTGCTGTGCTCATTGTGCCCTTTTCTGGCCTGGGAGCCCTTCCTCACTGTCAGGTCACTCAATGTAATGGACTGTGGGAATGAGGTTGGGGATGAGGGAGAAATGTTGCTTAGGGAACAATCAGACAAGCAAGGCGGAAACTTTGGTACTTTAAGGCTTGCAAGATTTTGTTAATATAGCCTTACAATAAGGAAGATTTAGCTCATCTAGTCATGTTTTGTGCCTGGTTTACCTGGGAGGGCTGACACTCGTGTCTTGGTCCCTTCCTGCTTTGGATTTTTGAAACACCCTCTATATGAAGCTGACTGCTCTTGAAGATCACAAAACTAGTCCTTGAAGATCACAAAACTAGTCCTTAAAGATCACAGAACTAGTCCAGCGGCAGCACAGTGATGGATGCCCCTAGGCTTATCCACATAACACCTCTGTTGCGCAAACTGCACTGGCTTCCAGTTTCCTTCCAGGTGCAACTCAAGGTGCTGCTTATTATCTTTAAAGTTCTATATGGCTGAGGGCCAGGTTATAACAAATAACAGAGTTGGAAGGGACCTTGGAGGTCTTCTAGTCCAAACTCCCTGCTCAAGCAGGAGATCCTACTCCATTCCAGACAGGTAGCTGTCCACTCTTTTCTTAAAAGCCTTCAGTGATGGAGCAGCCACAACTTCTGCAGTTATCTGCGGGATCCCTCTTCCTAAGGGCATCTACCCATCCTACCAGTTCAGAGAGGGTGGGCACACTCCTTGTCCCTTCCCTTAAACATTGCCATCGTATGGGATCAGGAAGGGTGCCTTTTCTGTGGCAGCCCCTGCCCTATGAAATGCCTTCCTCTTGAAGCTCGGCAGGCCTCTATCCTCCTAGCCTTCCAAAAAGCATTAAAGATCTGGTCTTAGCCCCAGGTGCTAAGACAGGGTGAGATGGTTTTGAGAGGATTTAACTGAGGGACTGTATTTTGAAAGCTCAGCTTTAATGCCAGGTTTTAAATGTTTATGGTATTAGAAATATGTGTATTATATTGTTTTATTATTGATGTTGTTGTAATTGTGATAGAGAGGCACCCAGAGTTTGATATAAATATTACGAATAAATAAATGTTATAAATCAATCAATCAATCAAAAATAATAGACAATCACTAAACTTGATTTCATTTACGTTTAAAGATAATAAAAATTAAATATAGTGAATATGATTATTCTCAGGGCTTTTTTTCTCGGAGAAAAGGTGGCGGAACTCAAACCTGGCCACGCCCTCATCAAACCCTAGGACCGCCCCTTTAGAGAACAGGAATGCAAGTAAAATTTGGGAGGGGCTATTTCCGGTGTGGGAGGGGCTATTTCCGGTGCGGACGGCCCGGAAAAAGGTGCCGGAACGCGGCGGCTGAAAAAAAGCCCTGATTATTCTCCAGTAGTACATGTAATGATATCAAATTAAAAATTGCAACTTGGGCCTTTCGTCTGCTACTAAGCTTCCTTTAATGTTTACCATGGATAAACCGTGTACTGACACTGATTTTAAACACTAGCTATGTTTCTCACTTCAGACTGTGAAAGACAACTCCACGGGAATTTATAGACGCCAATGTGAATAAATGCCAGTCAGAGAAATTAAAACAGAGATTATGAGCAAATCCCAAATAACCTTCTCTAAACAAAGGTCATAGATAATTTACTAGGAAACCCTCCATTTTTATTTTTTTTTTTTTCAAAAAGTACTATAAAAGGATGGAGGAACTCATCGACCGTGTAATTGTCGTTGATAAAACGATAAACGTCCTTCTCCGTCGAAACATTAGTGAAACGGGCGGTACCAATGACCTGACGACCGTTAGACCTTTCAGACTGGTGACGATCTTTACCACCAACGACTGCATCGTCGGCACGACCACCGAAATAAACCAGAAATTGGGGCCAAAAAAAATAAAAATCCCAATGTATAGATTTCTTTTGACAATTAACTCACATCAATAAATCAATCAATAGCAACAACAACAACGTTTCTATTTCAATGTTGTTTCCCAGAAGACAACATCATTATATAGTGCAGCTGCATTCACTAGGGCTTTTAAATACACAGTCTTGGTTAAAAAAAAGGCCAAAGAATCCTTTAGTTAAGAGTTGGAAGGCAAGACTGAGTTTTATAACACTATGGATGTGGTAATGCATAAAAACATTTTCAATATTTATTACAATATTTAAATTAATCCAGTAAACTTGCAAATTAGTTTAAATACCAATTCTTGGAGGGGGGGAAGGAGTTGTTGGAACAACAAGCTCCTCGCTCTAAGATTTTGTGGCAAGTCCCAACTGATATACAAACTAACTAAACTTTCCCTCAAATAATTTTCTTCACAAATGGAGGAAGGGTCATCCTGTATTTTTCTAGAATTCAATAATAGAGGAAGATATAATTGAAAGCAGGCAACTGTGCAGGTGGAGAAAATAATAAACTGATGAGAGCCTGTTTGGTGTAATGGTTAAGATGCTGGCCTAGAAACCAGGAGACTGGGAGTTCTAGTCCTGTCTTAGCCATGAAAGCTGGCTAGGTGACTTTGGGCCAGTCCCTCTCTCTCAGTCCAACCATCTCACAGGGTGGTTATTCTGGGGAAAATAGGAGGAAGGAGTATTAGCTGTGGTTGCCACCTTGAGTTACTTATAAAAAATAATAAATTGCAGGTAGGCAGGTAAAACATGCAAAAGGTGAAACTGTCACTTTACTTCAAGGGAATGAGACAAGCACATCATCCCTACCCTCCTTTTGTTCTCTGCCATATACAGAGGATGAATCTGCAAGACAGGGCCTCTCTAGCCTGTCTCCATCCCAGTGATGGCGAACCTTTTAGAGACCGAGTGCCTGAACCGCAACCGAAAACCCACTTATTTATCGCAAAGTGCCAGGGCCGCATCAGCATTGTGGTGCCCTCAGGGGGCGCACGGGGGCGTGGCCCACTGGGTGGGCGTGGCCCACTGGGCAGGCTTGGCTGCAGTTGTCATGGCAAACTGGGTGGGCATGGCCACCTCGATGTTGCTCATGGAGGGGACGCCTGCGGGAGCTGGGCAGGGTTAGGGGAGATCCAGGGGGTCTCTGGCAGGTGGGGCAGTGGGCAGGAAGCCCAGCATAGATGGGGAGAAGCACGCAATCCTAGCTGGACTGGGGGGCCATGGCGGCGATGGGGATCCAGCTTTCCCTGCTCGGGGTGGCCTTTGGCTTGCTGGGTGTGGGCGTGCTCTACCACCTCTACTCGATCTTGCTAGCTGACCGCTTCACCTCCTTTGTGCCTGGTGGGGCTGCCGCTCTGGGTGGCGGCGGCGGCCTAATGGACCTGCGCAAGCTACTGGCAGCAGTGGCATGCTTGCCCAGAGGGCTCTGAGTGGCGCCTCTGGCACGCGTGCCATAGGTTTGCCACCACTGCTCTATCCCTACAGAATCTCCATTACAGACTTTCCCCCTCAACAACACAGGGTGGAGGACAGAGAGAATGAGATATCTTGTAACAGGAGCCACTGAAGTCAGTGGGGCTTACAAAAGAATCAGCACACATAACATTCTTTGTGCTTTCTTACCCAGAACAAAGAATGTTATTTCCTTTTTGCAAAAAGAAGGGGGGAAAAATCTTCATTATCCCAGAGATTTGTTTCCATGGTTTATATCCAAACTTCGTGGAAGAAACTAGGTTGAACACACAAACCCTTGGCATTGACATCATTCATAGTTGCATGTTTGCTGAGCTCAGAATTCTACAAAAAAATCTCCCTCCCTGTAAGAATGCCTACAGGCGGTCCTCAACTTACAACCGCTCATTTAGTGACCATTCAAAGGTACAACCGCACTGAAAAAAGTGACTTATGAGCGTTTTTCACACTTATGACCGTTGCAGTAGCCCCGTGATCACGTGAATTCGGGCACTGGGCAACTGGCATGTATTTATGACAATTGCACTGACTCAGGGCCATGTAATCACCATTTGTAACCTTCCCAGTTGGCTTCCGACAAGGAAAGTCAGTGGGAGAAGCCAGATTCACTTAATGATCACAAGTGACTCTCAGATTGATCCAACAAAGGCAATTTTTATTCTCTTGTAAGCAGTATAGAAATATACCAAGCTGACAAGTTGCACTGCCATCGTACACAATTGCGGGATATGTTTTCTGAAGAACTCTCTGGTTAGGCTTAATAATTCCAGGAAAACAGCCTGCGCCAATCACACAAGCGCCTTCAGGACAGTTAGTGTAAAGGTTCTGCTTTTCAGCTGACATCTCCAGAAGAAGCTACACACAAGGAGCTTTCTGAGCTACACTGTTCAGATAATGGCAAAGAGCAACTCTGTAAAACTATCTCTTAGCTGTAACCTCCCCAGCAGCTCCCGGTAATTCCAAAGACCATAGCTGGCGTCCATGGTATATTAGTAGGCTCCAATATTGCAAATAAAAAACTGTTACTACAGATCCAAGTTAAGACAACCCACGGAGAGTATTTTTTTTAACTAATGTCTTTACCTGTTGAAGGCTGGCCTTGTTTAACCCAGGTAGCAAACGTCTGATGGAAATTTTTGTTCTGCTGGAATGTTACTGTAGCTGGAGATCCCATTTTGGTGGCCAGCACTACTTTGGCTCCACTGGGCATGGAGCGTGGTAACGGGCCTACTACAACTTTCTGAGGAGTGGAGACTGTGGTCGCAGTATTGCTAGTTGTAGTAGTTGCAGCCGCTCCACACACGATAGGCACCTGCTTCTGTTGTTCCAGTCGTTTCTAAGAGAGTTAAACATCATGATATCACAAAGAATAGCTTTCATTAATCTATGCAACTGTATCATCATTCTTACCCCAGAATACAAAGGTGGGCAACTTTTGTAATTAAGAGATGTACAGGTGAGAGGGACAAAAAAAAGGGCAAGGTCATATCACTTATATGGGCAAAATGTGGTAGGGGTTGTTTTTTTTTGGGGGGGGGGCGGAGGAATCTATTGTTTCTGTTTTGGCAATCATACCAGACATGGTCCCATGAATCAGAGACGGTAGATTTGCAATCTGGCCTAGAAGTTGCCCATTCCATACTATAGATCAGATAAATTAAGGCTGAATTTCATGCACATATTTTGGAACCAAGTACTATTAAATACAGCTGGACAACTATGTAAATATGCAAATACAACTGTATAAATGTGCAAAGGACAGGCTCAATTACATCATCCTTCAGGATATTCCACTAATTTGAGATAAAATATTTTGTAAAGAAAAGGCCAACTATAACGGACGCAGCTAGCCATTACAAACAAAGTTGCCAAGGACTATTAAAATACAGAAGCTGTTATCCACTGAGGTCTTGACCATATGAGACCTGCTATATTATAATTTAGCAGCTAAGAAATTGAACTACAAAGAGCTCTTTGTTGATTGGTAGCATTTCTGTAACTTGGCGCTTTTAAATTTGAATTTTTGTAGCACCACTGAAGAGTGCTTTAGGACGGCATTCATGAAAAGCAATAAATACATCCATAAGTTAATAAATTCTGACCTGACTGAGATCATAGGATGCTTAAGTCATGGTTTGTGTCAAAGCATCCCCAAACCTGGAAAGCAAATTTTCAACAGCAGCTAAGAGTTGTTTGAGTTGGGAATCCCTGGCCAGTATTTGAGAAGCTTCTTCATACAATTCCTGCTTCTCTTACTCTTGTATCCAGTCCTCCCACTCACTACTTGAAAGAAGGAGCACCGGCACAATTGTTTCGTAGCTTTCTAAGAAAGAGTGGATAAGGAAAGACAGGACCTTTGCTGATTTTTTGAGATTCTATATCTGGGGTCTTCTTTTGCATGGACTGGCAGCATCCAGCACGGTTGGCACCTTTTACTTGAGAAGAGAATTCCTCCAGAGAACATCCAATTCACCAGATTCCGTAACATGGCAGCTCTGGATCCAACCCATTGTAATATGCAGTGCTTGGAACACTCTGTGAAGTCTTTATTATGAAGGTGAAAGTAAAATATTTAAGTACTGAATTGAGAGTGGTTTTTTAAAAAAAATATTGGACTCCAATTCTTTTTAAAAAAAAACAAAAAACCCTTATTTGATACATTTTTAAGACAATAGGGCCTTATGTAAGATTTTAATTGGGTAGTATTTTTTATAGTATACTATAGGCGCTTTGGATAAAGCTGCAATTCTAGGTAACTGAGATGACAAGAGACTTTTATTTTGAACATATGGATCCAGAAGAAGTTGACACAACCCTCTGTGATACGAATCCAGTGGATTGGACCCCTCCACTATTAGGCTAGAGAAAACAGCCACAGAGATTACAGAAGGAAGGGTTTAGAAAATGGTGAACACATCCACGAGGGAAAGGCATTCCCCTCTCAGTAGGAAAAACATGGGACGCTCCCTCTTAAAGAAGCCATCACTTCATCTTTAAAGAACATTTCTGGGAATACGCATATATCTGCAGTGACTTCTGAAATGAAATGGGTCCTCTGAGTCTCTTTCAGACAGGATTCAGTCCCAGATACGGAACAGAAATAGGAAAGCTTGTCCCAGTCTGTATGGGACGAAGTTGCATCAATAAACAAACAATAGCCCTGATCCCAACTGGACAAGACCTGGTGTCTACGAAGAAATGGATAGAAAAAAAACAGTTTCAGACCCCACCCTGGCAAGATGAAGTTGCTGTGTATTAGAAAACTAATAATACAGAAATTAGTTCTAGTTGGAGATTGTGCTACCCCAGACAGAGCTGACCTGCAATCCGAGGGGTTTTCGGGACCCCCCAGCTCCTGCTTCAATAGTAGACAATAGCCGGAATGTTTGCAGAATTGTATTTGATGCATCAACTGTGGTTATTCTTGGATCAGGAGGCACAGTGCCTATTTAGTCCTGCCCTCGTCATCATCTACCTGGATTACTGTAATGATTTCTTGATAGGCTGCCGAGGAAGACCATCTGAAAATTCAGGACCTTGATATCTTTGAAACTGCCGGCTCCAGATTAACTCTGTCCACCCAGTATGAGCTGGGAGAGAAGGCTTCCCAGGGTCTCTTTTACAAGGGAGTGCCATCAGCTTTTTCGGTGATGGTATTCCTTGCTTGGAATACCTTGCTCCTCAGGTCAGAACAAGCTACTCTGTTGGATTTCTGAAAAGATTTGAAAACGCAGGTTCTCAGGAAACCACCTGGGGATAATGAGGATTTCTTTTTCTTGGCCGGTGCACTCAGGGGAGGTTTATTTTTGGAGGCAGCCGCTGGCACAAATCTGAAAACTTTTATCTTCCTTACTTTTGTATTATTTTAATGTAATGTACTAATAATTGATCAAGCTGATTTATTGATTTATTATTTAGATGTATTATGATTTATTTTCATGTGGTTGCTTGATGTCAGCCACTGAGAATTAAGTGGCACACAAGCCATAGCAAGAAAGCAAATAAATACATTCACAACACCGATTACGAAGCGATTTTGTAAATATAGACTTCTGAAACTCTGATATATATATTTCTGTGTGTATATGCAAGAATATTCATACTGTCCTGATGTTGAATGGTTTCTGACACCTTAAATCTTTTATTAATAAGAACAGATAGTTGTATTTGTGTTGCTATACTGTAACATTTAACTAAGAAGTTGGTATGAAATAGCATGTCTGCTAGAGAAGAAAAGACTGAACACTTTCCTAGAGTGCTTAAAAGAACTGGTTTTTTTATGTCCTTGTCAGTAAAGCACGTGAAAAGAGGGGGTTCTAATGAATCTTCCTTTTTCTCATTTTGCTATTATTGCTTGTTTTGTTCATGAATGCCAGGAACCTGTGTTCTGTTTCATTTTATATTTTATATATATTTTATATTAATGCACAACCTGAATTGAGTGAACATTTTGCTTGGAATAGCGAGATGGATGCAACATAAAGAATCAATGACGAGTAAGAGGAAAAGCAAGTGTTAATGACAGTTAATTATCAGACAGATGTCAGCCTTGTGTGCACGTCTCATTCACAGCAGATTAATTCTGTATCAGTGGATATATAAATATATCTAACTAAGAATCCCATTTCCACTCCAACATGGAAGTGTTTCTGATCGCTTACTTGGCGGAATGCCAAAAGCTACATTCACCAGACCCTGCCAAATTATATATTCTGTCAACATTTACCTTAATAGCTTTGCAACATAAATTTGCAGAGGCATACAACCCTGCGGAAAAGCCACCATATTCCACACAATGTGTAATATAAGCAAGTACAACAAATGTCAAAAATCTGAAGTTTTAGATTTAGATTCCCACTAGGAAGTTTCATATATTTTTTACTTATAAGAAGATGTTCAAGGAAGACACACTTCCATGCTAATTTGCTAATTCTACATAAATGCAAACTTTAACAGGTGGGACTTCTAAAAGGCTACCCCACCTGTTGGGCAGCCAATCGGTGCTGTTTGAGTTGAGTCTCCATTTGAGCCTTGAACTCCTCTGCCTTCTTCTGTTCACTAACCTTAGCCTGTTGCTCAACTGCCTGGGCCTTTTCCTTCTCCACCCTGCAAAAAAGAAGTATAGAAAATACTGACCATTATAAAGGAATTACAATTTTTAATCAAGAGAACTAATTTCAAAGCTATTAGTATAGTGCATCTAAGTTCCTGGAATTTTCAAATGTCAACATGATCTACGTTATACATTATTCTTCCTTCTGAAATATTTTATGAGTGCCCTTAAACCTGGTCCTCTCCAAGTCTAGAGGAAACTGGGATCAAATAAAAATTTCCTGCTGGAAGATAAAAAAAAAAAAAAGGAACATCTCATTACATTTTCCATATGTAGTCCCCAGTTGCTCTTCTTATGCCATTCCCATGACAAGAGAATTGGGGAATTTCATTTATATCCTTTAGAACCAACTGTTGACCACCTCTGAATTTAATTCAAGACATTGCCTGCAATATCTGATTTGCCTGCTGCATTAGCTGAACTATTTTAATATCCAGATTAAACAGTTTAGCTAGATGAAACAATGAATGATATAACTTTAGTAAGTGAAGTAGGGGCTTAAAGCTCAAAATCTTAAAAAGATCTTAAAAAGCTCAGAAGGTGCCCAAAATAAAGACAGAGGGAGGCAACCCAATGCATCAATTCTGATTAGCACCACAGAATACTGTTATTGTGGTAGGACTTATGGAATGCATTATACAACAAATATGAAAGGTACTTTATTGCCTTGTGCTAAAATAAGCCCAGCAACTCCTAAAAGCAGCACAAGAAATGAAGACAAAGAAATCATAGGATATAAAACTACAAAATGCAATCGTTATTTATTTATTAAATTTATATGCTGCCCATCCCATTAATAAGGCAAACTTTGATCTCATGATAAGATAAACGGAAAGGGTAGGGATACTGAAATTTGACAAGTTTCCACTTTTCAAAATTTGTATTTTCTTGAGTACAAACAGGTTAAAAAAAAGGAAACCTGGAAAAACTAAACAAGATTTTGGACCTGAGTAGAATGACTAGAAAGCTAGGGAAAGAAAGGGTATACAAAAGAAATTCCAATACATAATTTGATAGATTGTAACTATGCAAGAGAATGAATAGAAATGAAGAAATAGGAAACAAAAGGGATTGTACAGTTTTATTAACTGTAATCAGTTTAACAGCCTCAACAGCTTTTTTTTTTTTTTAGCATTACATTCACTGAAATGAAGAAACAATGGTATCAAGAAGGGAATTTTTTTCCCGTTTGTATTTTCTGAACTGCACTTACAGTTCTGTGATTTTTCTGAGGTTTCAGTTTGTTTGTTAAACCAACTGGCATAACTCAAATAAATACATTCAAATATGTACCTCGGTATAGCTAGAACAGGTTTCAGTTGTCACCTTACCTTTCAGAAAATGCTTTTATCTCCCATAATTCCAACTCCTCCTCTGCCACCCAGGTTTCAATTATGACTGGTCCTGTTTGCTTTGGTGTTTCTGGCCTTTTGGGCCTCAAAGCACTCGATCTAAGACCCTTCCTCTGAGGGGTTGGCGTTTCTGACAAAAAAGCAACGCCAATCAATTCTCAGTTAAATATCAGTATGAACATAGGTCATATTCGTCTGTCTAGGTTATTTGTGTATTTTATACACATGTTTACCTTTGGGGGCCTCTGGAACACCAATAGGACAAATAATTTTCCGTATGCAGTACTCTGATCGAATCCCATATGGCCCAACATCTCTCCGTTTGATTATTTCAGTCGTTGTAATTTCCATTTCTGATGTTTCTAGAAATATATTTGAACATTCATTCACCAATGTAAAAAGACATTACCACAAACGTTAGCTGAAGTTCTGGAGTTTTGGTTTAAAAGCAACACATATAGTTTGTTTTAGCATACGTGCAGAACCCCACCCCCAAACCCATGCTGGTATTTCATATTTAACCTCCATTATTAAGAAAAGTTTTAATCAATTGTGCAATATGTCAGGATACTCTTTACAATTTTGTAACTTTAGGCTTAAGTTACTGATGAGGTAAACCTCAAAATGAAAATGAAATGAAGTACAGAAATGTGACTAATATTACATGTAGCCCTCAACTTATAAATTCCTTTAGTGACCATTCAAAGTTACAACAGCACTGAAAAAGTGATTTATGACTGTTTTTCACACTTACGACTGTTACAGCATCCCCATGGTCACGTGATCAAAATTTGGGCCCTTGGCAATGGCATGTATTTATATGACAGTTGCACTGTCCCGAGGTCATGTGATCACCACTTTCCAACAAGCAAGGTCAATGGGGGAAACAAGATTCATTTAATGACCAAATGATTTATTTAATGATTGCGATGATTCACTTAACGACTGTGGCCAAAAGTCATAAAATGAGAATAAATCACTTCACTGCTTTGCTTAGCAACACAAATTTTTGCTCAGTTGTGGTCGTTAAGTCGAGGACTACCTGCACTCTTATATTTATTTGATGAAAATAGCTGCATGTTTTGAACATAAGATCTTTAAGATAAAACGCAGAATAGCCATAATTTTAAACAATAATTAATAATAATTAAAGAGTAACAGAACAGACAAAAAAAGAAAAGGCTACTGCAATTTCTAACTGCAAAACCTTAAGATGAGAAACAGAAATGTGTTTTCTACCAGCCAGAAAATGAGTAACTCATTGACTAATTCAGAACTCTGCCTTCTATAGCCCTTGAACCAACTTCAAAACCCTTTTGTAAAGCAAATAGTTGTGATCTGTGTCAGAAGGAATCTATAGTAGCCTGCTGCATTTGGAGGCAAGAAAACATCTGCACAGAAGTAGGGGAAAAAAAGGGAAATGCATTTTATATTGTCATGCCCAAACAAATTCTGGTCTGGAAAAGTTCAGTGACAATGATCAAGACTCAATCCCAAAACTCCATGATATTCTCCCTCAGTAACTTCTGGCAAATGCTAAGCAGTGCAGGTTTACCAATTAAATGACTATTATATTAAAAATGAATCCAAATTAAGCAGTATTCTCTTGCAAGCAGTCTATACGTTTGGATTAATTTAATTAATTAAATCTTTATGCCACCCACCTCCTCTACAAGGTGACTCTTGGGTAGCTTACAAGTTATCAAACAAGTAAAAATAATAATTAAAACATTAAAAATTATACAGAATAAAATATTATTAAAAACTGTACTGAAACCAAAACTAAAAGAGTTTTAACTGGTTTTGCACTGGTTTTTACATTGTTTTTTTTAAATTATTTTGAGGATTGATTTTTAAACTGATATCTGTCTTGTGTATTCTGAAGCTCTGCAAATCGACAAAGATGCTTATGATATTTCGGACCATAACAAAAAGTTATCATTCAGTTCCAAGATACTGGCTCAACCACATACCCTGGGCCCAAAGCTTGGCCATAAAAACAGGTCTTTAGGGCCTTACAGAGAACCAGTAGGGACAGAGATATCTAATCTCCAGGAAATTATGTTATCCTGAACTCCCAATATTGATGGAATACTAAAGGATTGAAAGACTTAATAAAAAATGAGCCTGACCAGCTAAAAATCAAGTTACAGGTTATATTTATATTCAGATATAATGTCTTAATAAGCAATGCTTTATGGAAATGAGTATCAAGAACTTGGCTCCCAAGTCTGTTAAACCAGCATTATTATAATATTCCAACAGGTAAAATGCAGCTCTCTATAAAAGAACAATGGAAGCCAGTTTGTCATTTTAGTTCATACGAAGTACTTTAACCAGTTCCCCCAATTTAGACCTCACAGAAAAGTCATGGTTAAATGAAATGTGCTGTCTTTTATGCTTGAGTTTGGTTTCTAATACCAGGGAATGCTTTCCTCTGAAACCAATGTCAGCATGCTTTGAATTTTCTGTTCAACAGAATCCAGGTATGATGCAATTCTAGAAAGTGCCAATGGCCGGCATTTCTGGATATCTTCTTTGTAATTAATATCTTCCTCTTGCTATATAAATTGTTTTAGTCTGTGCTTAGTAGTGTGACCATAGTTTCCTGTTAAATCATGGACTGAAATTAGTTTCAGTTTCATTCATATTCATCCAAATATAATATATTGGGAACAAAAAGTGTAATATAAATATAAAGTAACCCAAAACAGAATTCCATAAAAATAATTGATTTCAGAGTTCTAGTTCCCATAATATATTACACATTTTGCAAAACTGTTTAATTAATCCAGATTTCTGAAAGTCAACTCTACCTGTCCGTGTAGTTCCTCCTCCTGGTGGCGGTTTGGCAGCCATGTCATCCCACTTTAGGCATGCCCACAGTAACCTCAACATGAGGCTAACCCCTGCCAAAGATTTTACAGTCTGAAGTCGGTACCTGGGAAAAAACCAAAAAGTAATTCATTGGCTGGCCACCTTCAATATCCTAAAAGAAACAGCTTAAATGCCATAGATCTTCTGAGATAAAAATGTTTTTCTTTCAATCATAGTTAAAAATGGAGTGCACTTTCACATATAGAAGCACACATAGTACTAGCAGTCATTACAGACAGTCCTTGATTTACAAGCATTCGTTTAGTGACCGTTCGAAATTGCAATGGCACTGAGAAAAGTGAAATTTTTCACACTTATGACCGTTGTAGCATCCCCATGGTCACATGATCAAAATTTGGACACTCAGCAACTGGCTCATATTTATAATAGCTGCAGTGTCCCGGGTCATGTGATCCCCTTTTGTGACCTTTGACAAGCAAAGTCAAGGGAGAAGCCAGATCCACTTTGCAACTGTGTTACTAATTTAACAACTGCAGTGATTCACTTAACAAAGGTGGCAAAAAAGTCGTAAAATGGGGCAAAACTCACTTAACAAATTTCTCACTTAGCAACATAAATTTTGGGCTCAATTGTGGTCACAAGTCAAGGACTACCTATAATTCTGTATCATAGCTCAGCACTGGATATCAGAGTTTTCCACCCGTCCTTTTGATTAATCTTAAAATAATAATTTGTTTGCAGTGTTCATTTCTTTAGGCTGCATTCATTCTAAGAGCCTCAAGTTAAAAACAATGGGATTTCAGGATATTTCTACTTTCTAGTTTTTGGTCTCAGTGGGTACTTTTCAGGATATTTAATCCCTACAATTGCATACCCTCTGCAAACTCTCCTTCTTCATTATCACTCCACATATCAGATGCAAAAAACTGCCAAATTTGCATTAGATACAAGGTTCCCTACCCCAATACTGTTCCATATCCTGACCGAGAAGCAGCCAATAAATCTTTCTTTCTAAATACATGTACAAGGAATATTATTCTCCTGTTAAGTACAGGTCCAGTATCTAAGGGACAAAATCATAAGTAATTAAGATTTTTAAGTGATGAAGGGGACTTCCGGTTCCGGTACGCGGCGACGCCGGTCGTGTCTGGAGACTCATCTCCACTCTGGCCGGGTTTTCTTCGCCGGTAGACCCTCTAGTGGGTCGAAAGTCGCCCTGGAGGGGCGACCACCGAGGAGGAGGCTTGCTGGTGGGAGGGTGGCAGCTTCTCCCGTGGCTCCAGCTATTTCCTTAGGGCCGACGGAGCAAAGATCGTCCTGCAAGATGGCCGATTACCCTGCTGCACCAGCCGAAAGTCACAATTACATCTAAGCGTAATAGACCCACCGCGGATGATCCGGGTGAGACCCCTTCTGCTCCTCTCTTCACCCTATTCTGTTTTTTTATTGCCTGTAAAAGCTTTGTTGGAATTATTTCCCTGTCTTGAAAAAGCAGCTTTTGTATGCATGGGAACAAAGGCGCTGAACAAAAGGATAGAACAAAAAATTTTAAAGACTACACTTTATTCTCATTTACTTTGGGGTACATAAAAAACTCTTTTCTGAGCTGTACTATTATTTTATACTGGAAGATTATTTCTTTTTCCACTTTTTCCTTTAAAAGACAGAAAAAAGGGGGGAAAATGGTGTCTGGAAAAGATTTTTTAATCTACTGAGAACATCTAGTGGCGAAAAGTTAACATTGCAACTGCTGATTATTGTTTGGAGATGAGAAGGACTTGACCTTCAAACTATTCTTGAAGAGAAAAGATAAGCTGATGCAGCTGTGGGAATTGTGTGGGTGGATATTTCTTAAGTTTTATTAATTACAGCCTCCACTAAAAAAATAAAGGGATTATCTTCAATTACTATTAAAATGGAGAAACCTTATTCACAATTAAACTTAAACTTATATTGGAAAAGATTTCTACAAACCAAAACATACTAGAAGAGGAATCAATTGAGATCAAAGAGGAATTTATTTTACCTTACAAGCATCACATCTATATCTTTGAGGATCAGAAAAATCAAAGACTGAGATTTGATCCTTTAAAGCAATGAGGCTTTAAGGATAAGAGAAATAGATGTCCAATGCAGAGGTCAGGATGCTTTTTATTGTCTCAAATGATATTACAAGCAACAAAGAGAGACCTATCGGCTGAAAGGGAAGCTTTATTATGGAAACCTGCCTGGCACAAAAAGAAGGCCAGAACAAGACTGAAAAGAGAAATTTAAAATTATATGTAATGGATCAAAGGCACTGTAGAGCTATGGATTGATTTAAGGACTAAGATTTTGAGTTAGAACTAAGAGAAAAATGGGTGATTATTAGAATATATATATTAAATAGATTAAGAATGTATTTTTTGGAATAATAGGTTTATTTGTATGAAAACTATTATGTAATGGAATGAAGAAAATTGAAGAGTGTTTTAGATTTGGATTGACTTAATAATTGAATGTTAATTTAATAAGATGATCTTTTTGTTTGATAATATGAATGTTATTAGGTATGATAATTAATTGGATGAAATTTGAATCTCGTCCAATGGACTGAAATGATTTAAGGTTTGATATTATCTTGTAATCTTAAAGAGATTGATTGATTGATGGATTAGATATGTATAGGATAGACTAATATTTTATTTTAATTAGGAGATATTAGTGGAAGAAGAAATAAACAAGACTTATGATAAAATTAAGGAACTAGAATATACCTGGAAGGGATACCTGAATTGATAATGTGTTTATTTAAAGTTAAATTTGATTACGGTAATTGTAAATTCATAAAGCTCCAAAACAGGTTTAGGATTAATAGAAATTTAAATTAGAAATGACTATTTTAAATATATTAAGCTATTTGAGGGAAATAGAGAAGGAACATTTGATGTATTGATTTGAGTTATTCATATATGGTTTTATTTCTGGAGGTTTGATTACCCCAGCACCACGGTGTGTCTTGAGCACTTTGTTCTAAGAATTAAAAAACCAATGAAATTTGTTTAAAAAAAAAAAGATTTTTAAGTGATGACAATTAAGTACTGGATTATAATACATTCACAACATATGCACAACCAAATCTTCTCCCACTCAGTGTTTCCATTTTTTTAAACATTGTTATAACACTGTACCTCCAAGTGATGCCAAAAGTTGGTCTTGGCGATGGGTAAGGCCAGATGTCCAAAGCAGGCTTAGCAGTATAGTTGAAACAAGGAACTTCTCTAATCCCTCCTCTTCTTGCCAACTTCTTCAAGTCATCGCTGGGTAAAACAAATATGCTCTTTTTGCTGCTTTTAGTAACAAACTTTCTATAAGACGGCAATGCTGTTCCAGAACGAGTTTTTTTAGGTCTTGTAAATTTCATTAGTTTCACTTTGTTCCGTGTGGAATATTCCTTGCTGACTGTCATAGAAGTCAACAATGTTCCACTCGGGGTGGTTAAGGAATCAGTCACTGTCGTCGTAACCACGGTTTTACTATGCTCTTTTACAGAAATAACATCGGTACTACTGTTGGTTGTGGGAGTGGTAAGCTTTGTTACAGTGGTGGTGGTTGTGGTTGTTATAGTGGATATGGAACAATTTTCAGTTGATGACATCACACGTTCTTTATCCTCCTTGACTGCTGAAAGCTCTGACATTTTACAAACAGTTTTTGATTCTGTAGAAATGGTAGACGTGGTGGTCACTTCTGTCACAACTGCTTTCACTGCATTTTCTCCATTGGTGTTTTTAATTCTGTGTGTCTGCAGTCCATTCTGATCAGGAAAGTCGTTACTCAAACTAGATTCTTCGCATGAAATTACAGGCGAGAGGGCAGCTTTCTTAACACACGAAGACTCAATTTCCATGCATTCTGTTTCACTACTTATACTGTTCTCGTTACAGGAATGGACAGCTGTGATGGATGCATCATCAACCGGACTAGATCTTTCAGAAGAACACTGCTTTCTTCCACTATCTTGAGATGTATCCCCCTGAGGTAAAACACCACCTCTAGAATCACAGTTGGGATCCACAGAACTCCCCATAGAAAACTCATTGTCTGAATTTCTTCTCTCATCCACATCTTCCACAGCGATATCTCCATTCATAAATGGTTTTACAGATTCATTAGAGGGAAATGTTTTACCTAGCAGATTGTTTTTATTAATATTATTGACTTTAGAGTCAAGATTACTCTCAGCTTCTGCAAGAGCTTCTCTTTTTAAGCATTCTTCATTTGGTAATACTTTAAAATCAGCATCTTTTCCATTCATCTGATATGTTGCTGACTTTCCTCTGTCCATCTGGACATCATGTTCTCCATTTTTATTGTTGTTTTTATCAGCAATGCTTTTAATCTGATCGATGCACTTGCTTATGGAAGTTGGAGGATCACACTTTGCCTGCTCTAGCTTTTTACCATTTGTTTCAGCAATTTTACAGTGTGTAATTTCATCAATGATGTTTTCTCCTATGATGTCAGGAATCTGGGCTTCAAATGCCTTTTCTGAAATAAGCTCAGTTCGCAATGATTTCAGACCTTCAAGGTCTTGCTTGGGATTTAATGCAATCTTTGGTTCAGATGCATCTTCACTGCTTTTAGGTAGACTCGCATTTATGTTATTTGCTGCATGATGATCCTCTAAATTACAAGCTTCTACAGAATCACAGCCCTGATTTTTAGTTTTCAATGTTTCATTTTCTTTCTTAATGAGAGATGCAGTGTCTTTTTCACAGTTCTGTTCAATTCCTTCTGGCTGTATATTATCTTCACAATTAGGTCCTGTGATTTCCTCTGAGCTTTTTTCATTGTCCTCTAACACACTGCATTTGGTTGATTCTTTATTGTCTATTGCTTGAGAATGTTCCATGGTTGAATTATCATCCTCCTTACTCAGCATTTTATTTTTCTCTGTATCCACTGGTTCAGAAGCACTTCCATGAGCATTTGCTGCTACCAAACATTGAGTATCTGAGCACTGATCGGAAATGAGGTCTGATTCTTCATCTAAAAGTCTATTCAAGCAAGACAAGGATTGGACTGATTCACTGTTTTTATTGAAGTGGATATTGTTAGGTGACAAACAGTCTTTAACAGGATCTTCAGATTGCTTTGTACCTAAACTATGGGCTCTCTTTTCATCTGTTTCTGCCTTAACTAATGGTAGAGCATCTGTATTCCTTTGTGGACTCAGAGATTTACAATCTGAGGAATTGGAAGCAGCTTTAAGTTTAATTCTTTCTAATCGCTGCTTTTCCTCTAGTGTAAATTGTTTTACTCTTCTTTCAAGTAGTCCATCTAATTTTGATGTTTTCACTTTCCTTTTGTAACATGTCCTTAAGTGAAAACCTTCACTAACATTTATTAAATCTGCACTGATTGGAGTTTCTTCACATTTGGGGGAAGTATCCATTTTTACTTCATCTATTTCCATAGGTTCTTCCTTGATGTCTTTATCATTTTCACAGATTCCTTTTTCATCTATAAAGAATAATGTTTAATCAGTAGGACACTTTATTATTTAACACATACTAACAAACCCAAGTCAGAGCTCCCCAACCAGGACAGCTTCCAATTATATAACTTATTCCCATCATTATGTACAGCAGGGGTAGGGAACGATTGCCCCTTTATGACATGTGCCTGGCTCAGGAATTCTGGGAGTCAAAGTCCACAGGTCATAAAGGGGCCATCGTTCCCCACCCTTATGTACAGCATCAACAATAGTCGAACTAGGTAGAGAATCCTGGAAGTCCGAAATCCCCCATTTGGAATGAATTCAGACTGAGGAAGGCTAATCTAAATTGTGACTGATCACATATTCTTTTGCAACAATATATGCAGGCATATGGAATTAATAAAGCACTCTGTTTCTACCATGAATACCGTAATTATTTTCTCTAGATTGTCTTCAAGTAAACATTGCACACATAAACATCTCACTCAATCATGAAAGGTTAGATGTTTATTATTACCTTCCTTTGCATGATCTGGTTTTTCAAAAAGTCCGTCAATTTCAGGCTTTTCTTCATTTAGTTCATTTTCTTCCTTGGTTTGACTTTTCTTTGTGGTCTCAGAATGTTCAGTTTCTTTTTGGTCCTTTTTATGTGGTTCATGGAAGTTTTTTATTCTATTTTTCAAAGAACAGTGCTCTACTTTTACTTTTGCTGGATTTTTCCTTTTATCCAGTTCGTGCTGTTGTTCTGTGATAGCAGCAGTATTGTTCTTTGCTGATAAAAACATATGCAGATACTCATATTATTTTGGTCACTTTGTCAGTATAAGCCTCTAACAGAGGCTTTCAAAAGACTTACTCCAAGCCTAGTACTATATTCAGAAATAGGACTACTACAATTACAGTAGAACAGTTTATTTCTTCTCCTGAAATGCAATTTTCTTTTATAGTAATGTTACTGATCATTTCCCAATAGGATCTTAACACAGGTAATTCATTAAACCTGACTATCAATTTTTTTTTATTTTAATCAAAAACATAGTTATTTCTGTATCAATAACAATTAGAAAATGACATCGTTAACAAGCTTGTTAACAATTTTGTTTGCAAAAAGATTCTGATCTTGTAGAGGCTCTCACTAGGAAAAACAGAGGTGATTTTGTCCCTTTTCCTGCTGCTACAGTACTTTCTTTCCTACCATGCCAAAAGACCCCCTAACCTCCCAGAACAGATTTTCTGATCACATCAGAAAGGGAGAAAATAAATAAAAACTATTTTCATTTATGGAAACAGTCTACTTGTCAGAGTCTGCTCTATATAGCTTTGAATCGATTACACTGGGGTTAGGGTACATTACTAAAATCACAAAATTTCTCTTTAATTACAAAATTTAATGTAGTTAAATTGACCAGCTGTAGAAATTTGACATGAAACCAAATTACTGTAGTTTGCTTCTTCCATTATTTATAAAATTAAGATCCTTATGTGAATAATTAGCAACATTTTATAGCAACACCATATTTAATTGATAGAAACAATTTTACAGATATGTTTTTCTCCTAAAATGCTTGCTAGAAAGAAATTAAAATAATATTACAATATTGCTTGAAAATAAATAGTGAAAATTGGTGTTTGATATTTTAAACTTCACTTCATATTTCAAAATCATAGCTATATGTTGGACTGGTCAGTTATAATAAATGTAATGAAATAATAAAAAAAGATAATGACAATTTCCAGCACTTACCAAGTAGTAACTTTCTATAACTGACATTAGTATCTCCAGGTAATCTGGGTACAAATCTATGAACATGTGTTTTACTAATCCATATCCATCCACCATATCCTGTTACTCTATATTCTTCTCCTTTTTGTTTCCAGACCTATGAAAAAGATGAAATATATTTTCTTAATTTTTATATGAATTTGCAGCCTTACAACACATAAAATATGGTTTTGAAATAAAAGCCACAATTTTCTTTTTTTTCTTAGAAGTTAACGCCTTATCCATTCAAGTTTTAAACAATCTTTTGCTTGGCAATTTAATTTTTACAATGAAAAGTCGCATAGCACTTTAGAAATAATTGGTTAGGAGTGCACATATCCTCCAGAGCAAACTGCCTCTGCCTAAAACAAAAATCCTTTTCATCAGAATGAAAAGATGACAATATTAGTCAGGTTTCTTGAGCATAAAAAACAGCTAGCTTTAGAAAAAAAATAAAACTGTCTTATGTCTACTCTAAGAATTCAGCTAACGCTGAAATGGAAAGTTTATCTAGGTTTGGTGCAAATAGAGGTGCCTTAGTTAACAGCCACTCTTCACTGCCAGAGGTTAGTATACCAGGAGCAGACATATGACTTCAAAAAGGCAGACAAGTAATCTTAAACCCTGATTTCTCTAGTTTCCTTGGGAGTTCAAACAATGCTTAGGTTCTCAACTCTGATTAACTCAAACAGTAATTGGCAAGATATTTAAAACAGAATGTTTGTCTGCTCCTTATTACCTTGCTAAAGGGATTGATCAAGAACATTCTCTCCTAAATTACGTGATTGTTAGCACTGAATACTGTTTTAGTGGTAACAATACATCTATCCCTTGTTTAGCTTGATCATCTAGGTTAGCAATCATTTGCAAATATGACAGCATATAACAGTAATTAAAAATTCATTTCAAGCCAATGCATACATGTGTAATCAAATTTCATCTGCTTGACAACAATGAGTAACACCGGCATACTGCACAACAGAATTTTAACTGAATGAGACCGCACCAGTCAGTGATCTTTGCAGTCTCTCTCTTGCTCTCTCCCCTCTCTCTCTGTGTCACATGTCCCTTTAGTGACGATTCTGCTTAACCTGTCTCTGGAACAGACCATGGTCATTAAACGAGAAGTGCGTCCATGGTACTATATGAACTGCATTCAAGAAGGCAACTAATATAGTTTATGTATTACTTATATTAAAACCAGCATAATAGTTTATTACAAAGAAATCTAAAGCAGTTTACAAATCCTATTCTGGAATTAAACTAAAATAAAAGCTGGAACAAAAACAACCCATTAAAAGCAGCATTATATATGGTAGGGAGAATTAATAACCAGTATATAAGAGGGTTTTAAAAAACATGTCATCATGTTAGGGTCTGGTATATTACAGGGGCTAACCAAAACAAAGTAAGTCTTAATTAAGAAGTCACAAATCACATATACACGATGCTTAAATAAGCAAGTTTACAATTATACAAACCAAGGGAACTGCAATAGAACATGGTGTGTATCAACAGACTATACTGCTAGGGTAAGCACTCCAATGAAGCTGGAAGAGGAACTCTGGGCAGGCCTCTTAGTGAGTTGAGTACTTTTTTCACTATTTTCATTCTTTTGAACTCATACTTGGAATATGAAAATGTATGGCTCTCTGGCTATTCCTGAATTATAATTTCCAGTTTTCCTCCAGCCAAATCTGGAGATTTAACTATCTACCTGTATGTTACTTTTCAATTCTTCCGTTAATTGGCTCCACTGTCAATCTGCCCATATACCCTTTAGACAATATTTTCTCATATTCAGATGGAATCTGCTTTCTGTTAACTGAAATCCATTCTTCTACACATAGAAGGACAGATCTTGATGTCCTTTAAAAACTTATTTCAGGTATCTGCTACTATCATATCCCTTTTCTTCTTTCTCAAGAAGAAAAATTCTAATTTCTTCAATCTCTCTTCACAAGATTTTTTTTTATCCCAGATCATTTTTATTGTCCTTGTTTAAATTTGCTTCAGTTTACTTGATTTTTTTTTTTACTGTGGGATTTCCAGGACTAGGTAAAATAGTAAGGAAAGTGTCTTGAATATGCAGTACAAATATTACTTCAGGTGATTTGGAATGTGTATGTTTATTAATGCAATATTTTGGGCAGTCACTTCACATTTGTTTTCGGTTGTCCGTTTTGTCCACTGGGCCTTATTCTTTGTTTGTTTGATTCACTTCATTATGAACAGCTGCATCCTCTGTCAACTCTTGTTGTGGTGTCACCTTTGTTTGATCTGAGAAACCTTTTGCCCTCTCTTTTCAACTGGGTATACCGACTCATTGCACCCCATTTTCCAAATTTTTAAAATTTAGGGAGCACTACAGAGTTGCACTTCCGAATGCATTTCTGGCGGAAATTCAGACAAGCCTTAGTGATCACAACTGTAGAGTTCTATCTGTTCATGTAAAAGTCACCCAGGATGGTTAACAATCAGCGCTCAGGTCACACACCTTGCAAATACTAGTGGGTTTGGGATATGACCGTCACACGTGAAGGAATGGTCTGTCAGAACCACCTGTTTTCCCCTATTCCCACAAAGTGAGAAATTCAGAGTGTACCGGTTTTCACAAGTTTTGCAAAAGGGGTTCTTGAAAGAAAAAGGGGAGCAATTTTATTCCAAAATTTCCTTTTCCTCTTGCTCAGATTCTGGTTGTTAGAATTCCCGTGGGCTAAGTGAAAAGTCAGTGCGTTTTAATTCTGTGATCTTCTCAGCTAGCTGTTTAACAACCATCTACATACCATGCTTACCAGAGTAAGAGAGAAAAAGATCACACACACTCTTTGGGGGATATAGGTTTGCCATTCCCAGCTGGACTCCTAAGAAATTGACCTCCACTCAGAATTCACTGGGGGAGAAGAAAAAGGGTCCATCTAAGAATTTCCCTTAATTAACTCTAACCACATTCAATATCAAAGATGTTTGATGATCAAATGAGCAAGATTACATCCATAATGGAGTGGGATCTGATTACAGCAGCACTCCAAATTCATTCAGGTCCCTTCTTTTTTTTGTTTATTGTATTACTGTGGTTATTTCAACTATCATTCCATTAATATTCACAGCCTTTTAAATTTACTCAAAGAGCAGTAGCAATCTGCTAAAATAAATTAGTTTAAAAAAAGAAAAGAAAAGTAACGTTATCTAGAAATAATACCTGGTGTTTGATGGGAAACGTATATTTCACCCAAGTTGCTTGTTGCATGGTTTCTTCTTCCTCTTGTTTTCTCTCCTTTTTTTTCACCTTCTCTTTTTCTTCCCTTTCAATCGCTGTCATTCTGCGTAACCTAATCATACGATACATATAAGAGTATTTTAAGGTATGAAGCTGGCCTAGCATTGTCAAATATTCTGGGAGAGATGATTGGAAATGCTTTTATACACACTCAAATATGTTACCTGGTGTGACCCAAGGACTCCCTCCAAATGGGCAGCATAACAACTGGTTTAATTGCACATTCCAATATAGCCAGAGCCAATGCAAATTCTCTAGGTTTGCTGCACATCTGGACAGCTTTGATCCAATTAGATCTGTGATTCGACAAAAATATGAAATACATTAAGTAGGTCGTGTTCATTAAGCCATTTTCAACAGTAAAGCAAAAAGAATAAAATAGCAAGTAACAGTGATGCAAAAAAAAAAAAAAACCCACACAAAAAAAGCAAACATCCTTGAAGTGATGATAACCCTATCTTCCACCTCAATCCTGGGTCTATTGACGTATATCTATAGTATGATAAAATATAAAATCTGGTATTATTTTCATTCAAATCCCTTCTTAATGTCCACCCCTTTGCTATGTTTTTTCTATATCTGTTCTCTTCTTTGCAACAGAAGCAACTACCTACTGCTTTTATGTTTTCCTTATTTTTATTCCTTTGTTTTCCTTGGTTATTTCTCCAGTGTTGAATGTTCAATAGAAGCTCCTCAACTCTGGTGTGTTTTCCCATAATGTAATGCTCACATGCCCAATATATCTATGAAAATCATAGATTTCTTTACCTGTGTGAAGCCCAGTTGGGATGAAGGAATGAGGAAGGGATGTTATTCTCTAGCTGAATTATTGTTAACCTTAGCGTGGATATTGTGAGAACTTTTGACCCATGGACAGAACCATTCCATTTGAACTCTCCGGCAGGACTTAGGCAAAACTTGTGAGAAAGGTGACGTCTTTTGTCATGGTCTTCTCGGTGTTGATGTTTATTCAGAGCAAAAGAATTGGTAGCATATTGATTATGGTAGACACGATACTTCCCTTCTTGACCCAGCTTAAAATAATTGCTGATGCTTCCTTTCATAACTATTTCCTTCTTGGTATTCATTCGGGAAATTTCCCCTTGGGAATTAACCACAAGCACCTTATTGAAGTCAAAACAAAACAAACAAAAGCAACAAACTTAAGAACATTTGTTTTTTAAAATTGAAATCTCAAAGTTTTAAACCAGAGGCAAAATTCTGTAGCCTTTGGAAACTACCATATTAAGAATGAGCAGTAATATTTACTATGGCATGTATTTGACCATATAGGTTTTGCTTCATATAATACTGTATTAGTCTCCTATATACCATGGTAGATATTGCTTTTGAACCAAAAATTAGTTTCTATACACTTTATTGCCAGGTTTTCCATTATCTCTTTTGACAGGAATGTTCTGTTTTTCTTGTTATTCTTTTTATTTTATTTCTCTATTATTTGTAAACACTTAAAAGTCTTTCTGGAATTCAACAATGCAAGTATAGTGGTAATAAATAAACACATGAACAAATTTCAATAATAAGCTAGGCTTGCATTCCATTAACATTTTTGACCAAAAGAACATAATCCTGATGATGATGATCTCTGACAGTAGCACAGAATTTCTGAATTCCAGAACAAATAAACTGAAAGCACGTTTAGGAAAACAAGTATCGTTCCAGATTCAGAAGCACACAAGTATACTACTACTACTACTACTACTACTACTACTACTACTACTACTACTACTACTGATAATAATAATAATAATAATAATAATAATAATAATAAAGATAACAAAATACAAAGATCTACAAATAGAAAGACTGTGGCAAAGGCAAGCAAGGGTAGTACCAATAATAATAGGCACCTTGGGTGCAATCCCAAAACAACTAGAGCACCACTTGAACACCATTGGCATTGACAAATTCGTCATTAGTCAATTGCAAAAGGCAGCCTTATTAAGAACTGCTTCCATCCTGTGACGATATCTGTAATACCATCAAACATCCACATCTGCCTATCCCAGGTCCTTGGTAAGGACTCGATAGGTAGACAGAAATGTCAAATCCAGTCTGAACATCTGGCTGACTATGCGAAGATCAATAACAACAACAACAACAACAACAACACATATGTATATAGATATGTGCATAGATTCTGATGCCATCATTGCTGGCATTTCCATATTTATTTCTGGTTTTGTTTGTAACTATTATTTTGGCACTTCAATGAATCAGAACACTTTTTATTTTTCAACACTAACACAAACCTCTTTGCCTTCTTTAAAAAGTTTATTTGCTTCATGTGCTGCAGCAGCAACCTGCTGAATTTTCAGCTGGCTGAGTTTGCTATCTGGATTTCGTAACCTGGTGACCATTCGCGTTGAACCTGGAGTGCCTATTCCACTGTTTGGAGATTCACTTCTCTCACCATTAGATTTATCGCCTATCAGGAAAAAAAAAAGCTTAAATAGGAACATACAAGTAAGGCAAATGAGCACAGCCATTTTACACTAAAACTAGCACTCAGCATATTCTTCTGATTATTAAGCATTATTTGTACCTGGGTCGTCTGAGTTCTGAGAATCTCCTTCAGTGGTTTCCACTTCATCAGAATTCTTCACAGATTCACTCTGCATAGAATTTGGTTCATTGCTACTGCTGTGTTCTTGGTCCGACAAAAACGCTTCAGCAGATGAATCTATGTTCAGATTAGGAATTGTCTTAGTTGTTTCATCTATCAAAAAAAAGGCAATTTAGGTACATAGTATTTACCTGAAGAATACTTCAATACAGAACATTAACATCTGAAATCAGAAATCTACACAAGTCTTGTAAATTATACGTAATAGATATTTTTAAGCACATAAGGAATAATTATACAGATGTACTGTTTTTGCAAAATTATCTAGGTTTCTTTCAAATTATAATAGTGAAACTACTTCAATGTTATCAGTATATAAAGCTGCAAGAAACCCCTTGTGAGTACTCAACGAAGCGAGTGGTTCTTTGATCTATTGCTTTATATTATATTATTTGTTCTGGTGGGAAGCATTGAACTAGGGTTACAGAAGATTTGAAAGAACACTCCAAAGGAAGCCCTAGAAGTCATGGATAAAAGGGGAGGGAGGAATAAAACAATACTTTCCACAATAAAAAGTGGTTTGTGTTGAACTTGGTGCTTTTAAAAATAAACACCAGAATGGATAAGATTAAAATAGTGTAATAATATTCAGAATTACAAGAGTGCAAATAATGAACAACAAATGGACTACTTTATTATTCATCCCCAGTTTGATTTTGGTATGCCCGTCATACCAAAATCAAACTGTTCATGTGATTATAATATTCACAGAGCTACTTCAAATATATAAAATGATATTAGGAAGACAAAGCTCCTCAACAGATGTATCATGTGAAATTAATATAATTCTTTCCTTTCTGTACATCTGAGTCAACCTTGAGCCAATGAGAATCGAACTGCTGGTAGTCGGCAGAATTAGCCTGCAATACTGCATTCTAACCACTGCTCCACAACGGTTCAATAAATTCTGAACTTAATAACTACTGGTATACAGCGATAAAGAAAACCAAACAGCATTTAACTTTAGGAAACTACTCATTCAACACAAAACACAAAAGAAAACCATCCATGTACCTGAAATAGCCTTAAGATCTTCTGATGCCATATTTTTGTCTGCCTTATTATCATCAGGAATTTCTGAATCACATCCTACTGTGTTCTTCCCTTCAGAAGCATCAGCCTCCACTGCAGCAACATTTGTGATGCTGCTTCCGGGAAGTGATAGTACAGAATTGTTTTCATCGCATGCATCTGCTGATTCTATAGAAAATGCACGATAAAAGTTCATAAGCACTTTTAATATTGATTTACCAGCCATTTTACCTATTTATATCCCACCTTTATTATTTTCATAAATAACTCAAGGTGGTGAATAATGTTAATTGAACTTGAATGGAAAATAAATTTGTAAGAAGCTGCTAGCATCATCTGTCCTGAATAGCATCACTGGAAAATTACACCTGATTCTTCAGTGAAAAAAATAGCTGTATTGATTGTAAAATTTAAATATATATTGTACATGTTAAAAATGTATCAGCAACGCTACTGAAACAAATACATTAACTTAGCAGGTATATCATTATTACCTTCCTTTCTTCCTTTCTCAGAACTTTCCTCTGCTACTATTTCCTTGTTGACTTCCATCTGTTGGTTTGAAAGTTCTTCTTTTCCATTCTCAGTATCTGTGCACTCTTTATTTTCAACCGTAGTTTTTTCTTCATCGGCAACCGAGCTTCTGTCCTCTAATAGCTCTCCTTTTCCGCCTCTGATTGTTTCCAGAATTTCTTCTAAAGCAAACATGGGGTGGGGGGGTGGGAAGATGAATCAAGGCCAACTTTTTCAAGTATAAAAGTACAGTCTATATGTTCTAGTTTTGTAATGCACCATGACACCCTTTCAAGAGGCATAGAAGCGTGGCAGAGCTAGACGTGAAAATGAACTAAGTATAATCGACAGTTGGCAATTATGCAGCACTGTGTACATCATTAAGTTTTTCTACCTTTTTTTTTTAATGGGGTGGCCTTTTCAGAACATTGGGCCCAGTCCTAGGGTGTCTCAATTTATAATTGCAATAGTTTGCAAGCGAAATTCTGGTCCCAATTATGGTCGTGACTCAAGGAGTAACTGTAATTTTCTATATTTATGCATCAATAACAGATACAGTATAACTGAAGAAGAAATAAAGAGTTGTATTCTGACATTCAAGAAATAACTAATACAAATGCAAAAAGAATATAATGTGGGAGATTCAACCTGAAAACTGGAGACAAAGAAGTGGAAACTGTCAGTGGATTTATTTTAGGAGAACAGAATGAAGCAGGGACACTGGATGCACTTCTGTCAAGAAAACCAGCTGAAGATCCCCACTATATGGTTTATTTAATCGAAATAGAGATCTCCAAGTAGATGATGCTGCAACCAAAATGATCACATCTTATGCAGCCAAAGAGGAAAACAGAGGGTTCTCTCATAAAACTTTGGCTGTTCCAAACCGTGACTTTAATCATGGATGACTTGTATCAAAATGGGTTTCAAATTCACCTTGAAACTGTACACGAACACCCAGGAAATTACTAAAGTAAAGATATTCGTCGATTTCAACTTCATTCTTTGTTTAAACTGAATTGAAAACACCTTTTTGGTGATGTGTCTAATACCCTTCTTACTTTTTTTTGGAAGTAGTTACTTTGTGGAGTCCTTATATAGGTTAGGGCGGGGGGTGGTGCGTCCGTTTAACAAAAGTCTTTTTGTTAAGTTTAACGGTTGTCTCTAGGAAAGCTAAAACCATTGGTGAAAGAGATAAAGCAAGATAGCTAAATAAAAGATTTTAATGTAAAGCTAGAAAAAGAAACCAAAGAAAATTACCGGAATGAGCTTTCCAAAGAAATGGAAGATAGAAATGAAAAAGGACATACCAGAGATCTTTTTGTCTTAATAAAGAAAATCCAGACACTATTCACTCTACCTAGAGGAACAAAGAGGCAGTGATGAGAAGGAACTGAAGAATCGGAATCAAATGAAAAATAGATGGAAGGAACAGACTGAGGAATGGTATGACTAGTAATGTTCTCCAACAAGCAGACATTTGAAGCAGAGCCCAGTATACCAGAAGATGAGGATAATATAGACCAGTGGTGGCGAACCTATGGCACGGGTGCCAGAGGCGGCACTCAGAGCCATCTCTGTGGGCACGTGCGCCGCCACCCCAGTCCTAGGCCTTCAGCTAGGTTTTATAAAACCTTTTCGCTTTAGGCCTCCGCTGCTGTGTACAAAAAAACCCGGTTCAATCAACTTTTTAATCCCACCCAGTCTGCTGTTACCACCGCAGCCACGCCCACCCAATGGGCCATACTTACCCGGCACCCGACGATAATAAGTGGGTTTTGGGTTGCAGTTTGGGCACTCAGTCTCTAAAAGGTTCGCCATCACTGATATAGACACTGAAACATCTATCAAAAATGAAAATGCCTGGAATTGATGGCATTGTGTTATCATATCCACAGCAGCAACTGCAAAACTATGTCAAAAAAGTGGGATATCAGTAAATGGCTGAAAGACTGGAAAATGTCAGTGTTCATCCCAGTCTCAAAGAAGGGTGACATATGAGCCTGCTCCAAGCAATGCATAAAAATCCTGATATTAGATGTTGTGAAAAAAATCATATAACTGGATCTAATCATGCAGAGAGAGATGCAGGTGGTTTAGAGTCACATGAGATCACGCTGCAAATGTTCAATAGAACAAGCATGGAAATTTCAAAAGGAAGCATATCTGTAGTTAATCAACTATTGGAAAGCCCTTGATGGTACCAAACATAGAGATATTCTGTAGACTTGTTGAAGAGCAACAAAGATGATTAGGGGACTGGTGGCTAAAACATATAAGGAACGGTTGCTGGAATTGGGGTATGTCTAGTTTAATGAAGAGAAGGACGAGGGGGGACATGATAGCAGTGCTCCAATATCTCGGGGGTTGCCACAAAGAAGAGGGAGTCAAGCTATTCTCCAGAGTACCCGAAGGCAGGACAAGAAGCAACAGATGGAAACTAATCAAGGAGAGAAACAACCTAGAACTAAGGAGAAACTTCCTGACAGTTAGAACAATTAACCAGTGGAACAACCTCCCTCCAAAAGCGGTGAATGCTCCAACACTGGAAGTTTTTAAGAAGAGACTGGACAGCCATTTGTCCGAAATGGTATAGGGTTTCCTGCCTGAGCAGGGGGTTGGACTAGATGACCTTCAAGGTCCCTTCCAACTTTACTATTATTATTATTATTATTATTATTATTATTATTATTATCATCATCATCATCATCATCATCATCATCATTATCATCATCATCATCATCATCATCAAAGACTGGAAAAGGTGTATGGCAGAGTTGTATTCAGTTGCCATTTCTTATGCAATGTATATACAAAAATGATTTTAAGGAACGTAAACAAGTTAGAAACTGGAATATCAATTGACAGTATAACACTGACAATCCTATTAGCCTTTCACAAGGCCCTAAAAACCTGGGTATGTTCTCGAGCTTGGGGTGCTGAACATGTTAAAGTCCCCATTTTATTGCTGTATTGCTAACTAACCAAATGTCTTGGCTACTATTTCTTTTAGATGTTTTTATTGTTTTTTTATTGTTTTAAAATGCTTTTAGTCTTTTAATTGTAATATATTTTTTTGAATTGTAAGCTGCCAAAAAGTCATTAACCGAGATGGGTGGCTATAGAAATTGAATGAATGAATGAATGGATGGATGAACAAGCAAACAAACTTAAAAATGTAAAATCTGCAGATGATGCCATCTACTAGCAGAAAATGAATAGGATAATAAATAATAATCCTACAAGTCAAAGCAGAAAGCAAAAAAGCTAGATGGCCTCTAAACATAGAGAAAATTACAGCAATGACAACAGCTTGATGACAGCAGAATAAAAATTGACAATGAAGAAATCGAATCAATTCAGTAATTTCTTTTCCTTGGTTTCTAAATTAAATGCAGAAGAATATCTACTGAGTTCAGCAACAACAAAAAATAGAAGAAAAGTAGACTCCCTTGAATTACAGTTTGTAGGTGGCTACTATGCATCCCTTGAACACAAATATAATGAGATTTTAGACTGCATCGGGCCAGAAATATCACTGGGAAACTTAGATTACCAAGCTAAATTATTTTATTTTACCAATGTCATGTGATCAGACTCTCAGAAAATTCAATTACGTAATGAATGGTTAAAGGTGCTGGAAAAAGAGAATGGCAATAAACATGCTGGATAGATATGATCAAGCAAGATACTGCTTTAAACCTAGAACAGTTATGTAATGTTTTAAAACATCAGAAAGAACAGCGAAAATTATAAGACCTCAAAGTCAGATGCAATTGAACCGGTGGAAAAAGAAATTCATTCTATGAAATGACAGGAATTTGAACTGACAACATACACAAGGAAATCTCTATCCTAACTGCAAATTAGATGGGATGGTGGGGTTAAATGTACCTTCAGTTAAGAGCTTCCCCAAGAGGGAAGATAATTAATTTAATCCACTCCATTCCCAGTGTGTTTATTTACTGTAATATTTGAAAAACATCAGAACTAAAAGGTCCCTTGAACTATCAAAAAATCTGGTTCAAACAAATAAAAACAAATCTATTGAAGACATACAGTCAGGTCAATAGAAGTAGGTTGGTAATTGCAAAGCAGAAACCAGATAGCGATACCTGTTATAGTTGTTTGATCATATACAGCTAGTAACCAAACAATTTGCAGAAAAATTAATTCTAACAAGACTTCACACAAAGGTGATGATTATTAGCAAATACAAATGTTCCACCTTTCTAACTCACTAACATTTAAAAAAATAAAACAATATGTTAGTCTGAAAAACTAAGTTAACCAGTGGCTAGAAATATGATACCAGAGTCATTCTTTGAATGGCACATTACAATAAACAGTATCCAAATATAAAAGGGAGACCAATCAAAACATGCCTTGAAGAACCCCATCAGAAAGATCTCCTAACATTTACAGGTGGTCCTCGACTTACGATCATTCGTTCAGTGACTGTTCAGAGTTACAACAATGCTGAATGGAAGTTATGGCCACTGCAGTGTTTCCCCTCCACTACCACAGTCATATGATTGCAATCCGGGCATATGGAAATGTACAACTGGCTGTCAAGTGTTTTGCAATTATGTTATTGCCATCTGCAATCTTTCCCTGCCGGCTTCCCCAGAGACAATGGCCATTAATGATATGAGGTTGTATACACTCTCTATTGAATTATAACGCCAACATGTATATCATACCTATGCCACAGAAAGATCCCCCCCCCCAATTATTTTCATTCAGAGTATTCTGCATTTACAAAACAAAAAAATCACTATGCACTTTGGTTGTATTTAGCAAGATACAATTAGCTGCCATTTTGTTCACTTCATCCCATGAATGTGGAAATAAGCCAGACAGACATAATGAACCAGTTTCCTATGTATTATTAGTAAAACAATGGTTCAAAAGATTGCAAATAGACCTGGCTCACTTAAAAGTTATTAACTATATTTCCTGTTTATACATAATGGAAAGCTAAGATTAACTGTGGCTTCTTGGTTTTTCATCAACAGAGTATAAGGGAAACAGCGGAAAAAGGACTATATCCAGACAAATGCCATTCTAGTGTATTCGTAGAATAATCCTAGACTAACAAATTTTATATTAGTAATAGAACATTATATATAAGTCGTCTCTACGTCACTTAATGCAAAATTAACAGACAGAACCAAAAATTTTGAAACCCAAAAAATTTTTTTTTTAGTTCTTTTATACTTAGTGATAAACTTCCTCTATATACTATCGGGTTTTAATCCTGAGACCATTACCTTTGACTAGCACATTCTATTAAAGGAACAATCCTTTTGCAAGCTACAGGTCATTTCATCATATAAAGTCTATTTATGTCATCCCTTAAAATTCTACAATGACACTTATATTTAATGGCATCTTCTCAAATGGATTCCATTGTCATTGAAAGCTGCTATCAGAAAATTATCTTTTCCGAATATAAACCAAACAGAATTTGATCTTCATTTTAACAAATAATGTCCCTTTTCTTTCTCTCTCAAATGGAATAATCATCATCAAATACTTAAGCAACATTTATTGCCTGTCTAATTCATTCTGTAGATGAAATCCTTTGCTTTAAGTTAGTTCACTACAACTTGCTTATCCTAGCTGCTTTTGCACTTTTTTGAGTATTCAGGGATCCAACAATTATTAGAATTTGCAAATAAATACTGCTTCCTCGAATATTTTGAGGACCCACTCTCCAATTGGCTGTCTTTTTATCCTACCCTCTTGCATTAATGCCGTTTTTCTCACAATTTAATTTTTTGGGAATATGAGTCAACACAACCAAAATGTGTTTTATCAGTAATTAAAAATATAAGATTAATTGGTTCTTACCATTTGCTGCTGTAAGAAAAGACTTGTTGGTGCCCCGTGCTTTATTAGTAAGGTCTTCTGTTATGTCCATGTGCCCATGAATTTCTTCACGCATTTCTTCCAGAGTTTTGCAGATATCAGCTTCCCAGTAATCTTTGTCTAGGCATTCAGTTAATTCTGCCAGCTGGACTTTTGTGCTATAGTACCAGATTCTCTTATGCTTTTCACATTCTGAGTCTTCCTCTCTATGATAGTATGAGAATAATTGTTTATGAGATACGAGGAATGAATATATGTATATGTGTGTGTGCGTGTGTGTGTAAGAGAGAGAGAGAGAGATAAAAAAGAAGGAAAACATTAAAAATTATCCAACACTTGGGAATTGTTTTTTCCTATTCGTGTCAACATAGCAATGAACAAAAATAATAAAGGTATTCCAAACAGCATTATGTACAAATTAATCTATATAAATAAAAATGTAAATGTTCGTTTGTTCAAAATCTTAAATCTCCAAAAGTTCTTCACCGATTGCTTTGAAATTTTGACACGTTGCATTCGAATACGCGCATGTTTTTATATACCTACTATTATATAGATGTCACACCTGTGACAGGTAAAAACATGCTTTTTTTGAAAAACAGCGCTATCTGTTGGACGTAAAAGCAACACACGCTAGCATTGTGAAATTAAACATATTACAAACGTGCGCTTTCTCTTTTCTTTCTTTTCCATTTAACCAGACTGAGCCACAGCAACGCGTGGCCGGGTACAGCTAGTATCTGAATATAGATGAGGTCACTTCAATTACAATGTAATAAAGTAGTCCTCAACTTACAACAGCAAAAGTTACAATGGCACTGAAAAAAGTGACATGACAATTTTTTACACTTACGACCATTGCAGCATCCCCATGGCCAGGTGATTTACTTTCGGATGCTTGACAACTGATTCATATTTATGACGGGTGCAGTGTCCCGGGGTCACTGTGACTTTCTGACAAGCAAAGTCAATGGGGAAGCCAGATTCCCTTAGCAACCGTGTTACTAATTTAACAACTGCAGTGATTCATTTAACAAATGCGGCAAGAAAAGTCGTAAAGTGGGGCATAACTCACTTAGCAAATTTCTCACTTAGCAACATAAATTCTGGGCTCAATTGTGGTTGTTAAGTTGAGAACTACCTTTATTCTGTTCTTTTACAGATATCATCAAAATATACCCAGTAACATTCTGCAGAGAATGAAATAGTTTACTAACAGGGCAAAGAAGGATCTTAGAATCAAAATGAAATGGAGCCATCGCTCTTATGTAAAACTAGACAACCTGTGCCCCCTTGGGTTATCATTGCAGAGGTATTTCCTTACCAGATTCCTCAACTATGGCAGAGCTTCTAAGGTACTTCCTTCACTGGAAAAGTTCCCCCAAATTCAGGGAGATATTCAGAAATGTATTTGCCTTGAAAATAGTCCATGTCAAACGGTATAATAGTCTCAAATATCAAGAGTTGACCACAGGAAATGTTTTATGACAATTCATAATATGTCCTAAAATGTTTTCTAATAATGTTTATGTCCTAAAATGTTTTATAAAATTTGCCACATTTCAATTCCATTGGAGTCACAGTTTTTGATGTGTTCTGTAAGTTAACCCATTTAAAATACCTTGACTGAAAAAGTTTTGCCAACGCCTACATGTAAGGCCACATGGTGAGAGAGCTTGTGTCTTTCAAGATCAATATAAAGTTTTTATGACCCTGGCTGTTGAGCAGACAACCTGATGTATCTTTCCCCAAAGCATCTCTCAACGTATCACTGCCCAGAGTTAATTTTTGTGACATGGACAGCCATATAAATTTGATAAATACATAAAATAAAATTTTAATTTTTGTTCTGAATAAAATAAAAAAATATTTTAAAAAAATTAAAATCTTGTTTTTTATTTTGATAGAGCTGAGTTAAAGGGAGAAGTCTTCAATAGAAAGACCAAGAACTCTTCATGTGGACAAAACTAGGCAAATGTCAAGATGTACTGGTCACACCTAATCAATTGTCTTTCATTGGAACCCTTGAACGAGGTGGTCTTTAACAGGTGTGAGAACCAGAAATGTACGTAATAGTCTTGTCTCACCATTGATTTATATACATAAGATTTTAACTATGTTGGCTGTTTGAATTCTAACTCTTAAATACTGTATTCCACCATAGAATTTACTTTTTAACAGCAACTGCACATTGGCTTGATAAGTTATACAGAATACAAAAGAGTTGAAAGGGCCCTGGAGGTCTTCAAGTCCAACCCTCAGCTCAAGCAGAAGATCCTATAACAGTGATGGCGAACCTTTTAGAGACCGAGTGCCCAAACTGCAACCCAAAACCCACTTATGCATCGTTGGGTGCCGGCTGGGTGTGGCCCATTGGCTGGGTGTGGCCAATTGGAGGGTGGCCCATTGGGTGGGCGTGACTGCGGTGGTAACGGCAGACTGGGTGGGACTAAAAAGTTCAATCAATCAATTCCAACTTTGCAAGATCTTTTTTTTCCCCCCGAGCAGTTGAAATTGACTGATTGATTGAACCTTTTTTTTTGCACATGGCAGCGGAGGCCTAAAGCGAAAAGGTTTTATAAAACCCAGCTGAAGGCCTAGGACTGGGGCGATGGCGCGCGTGCCCACAGAGAGGGCTCTGAGTGCCACTTCTGGCACCCATGCCATAGGTTCACCACCACTGTCCTATAACATTCTGGACAAATGACTATCCAATCTCTTCTTTAAAATCTCCAGTGATGGAGCACCCACAACTTCTGGAGGCAACTTGTTCCCCTAGTTCAGGGGTCCATTCCATTGATTAATTGTTCTCACTGACAGGAAATAAGCTCTTTAGTTCTAAGTTGGATCTCTCTTTGTTAAGCTTCCATCTGTTATGTCTTATCTTGTCCTCAGATACTTTGGAGAATAGGTTGATCCCCTCCTCTCTGTGAGAACCCCTCAAATATTGAAAGACTGTTACCATGTCAATCCTAGTCCTTTTTTTTCGTTAGACTAGATATTCCCAGTTTCTGGGAACTGATTATTGTACAGTTAATCTCCAGTTCTCTAATTATCTTTGTTGCTCTTCTCTGCACTCTTTCTAGAGCAGACATGTCAAACTCACGACGTCACATGACATCGTGCAACGTATGGGGACAGTTTTGCCGGCAATGGGGTGGGCGCGGCTTCCGGATGATGCGTCTGGCCCATGGGCTGGCAGTTTGACACCCCTGTTCTAGAGTCTCAACATTTTTTTTTATATCGTGGTGACCAAAACTGACATAGTATTCCAAGTGTAGTCTTACCAGTGCAGTATAAATTGGTACTAACACTTCATGTGATCTTGATACTATGCCTCTGTTAAGGCAGTGTAGGCATTGGCCTTTTTGGCAGCTGTGGCACACTGATGGCTCATTTTGGTTATCTAGGGTTATTAATGTCATTGCCATTAATATAGGTATCATACTAATCTGTGCCTGAAGTGCTTTTTAGTTTTCTGTTACACAGCCTTAATCCCTTTTCATTATGTGGATTCTTATATCAACATACAACATTGAGTTTTAATTAACATACCTGCTACTTTTGCAATGAAGTTCTACAGGAAACAAAAAATGACACTGATATTTAAGCCTAATGTTTGTATCTTTTAAAGTTAAGGCATACTGGGAAATATCCTTCACAGTAGGAAAAAGGTGATACCAGGTCTTATTTTATTTTTGCCTCCAAAAGAGGCACTAGGTCTTACTTTCGGGGGATGTCTTACTCACCTCCGGCACTGACAGCCCTGCCAGCAGGTCCACTTCTTCTGGGGCCGAAGGAGTAGCTGCATTCTGGCCTGCATTTTGCAGACAGGCTTTTCCAGAAGGCTTATGCAGCCGAGTACCAACCTATGGATTGAATCCATAGCTCAGTCCTCGGCTGCAGAGGTCTTGCACAACCGAGCTATGGATTGAATCCATAGCTTGGTTCTTGGCTGCACAGGCCTTCCGGAAAGGCCTGTGACTGAGAAATGCAGACCTGGCTGCAGAAGACATCGCAGAAGAAGTGGGCTGGCGAGGAGAGGCTTGGCTGTAAGGTAAGTATGTGCGGGGCACATGGGGCACATCCACACCCCTACCCCCACACCAGCTTGATTTTTAAGTGTGTGTCTCGCCCCAAAACTAGGGCTTATTTGGGGGGTAGGGCTTATATTAGGCCCACTCCAAAAAATCAAGCTAGGGCTTATTTTTGGAGTAGGCCTTACTTTCGAGAAAACATGGTAGTGTGGCCTTCAAGTTAGCACTTCAACCTTACACATTAGCTTTCACTGAACAAGCACATAAAGACACATACTATTTTAGGCACACATACAGTTTTATAAATTACAGTTCTGAAGATGAATTATACCACCATATTTATTTATTTATTTATTTATTATTTCAATTTATATCCCGCCCTTCTCCCGAAGGACTCAGGGCGGCTCACAACATTATTAAAACAAAGAAAGACCCACACACCCCACCGAATAAAACCAAATTAAAACCAAAATTTTTATGTTGTGATAATTAAAATTTCTAAAAAACCCAGTTTAAAAATCCTCCCTAGGCCA